GCGTCATAGCAGCGCGCAATGCGCGGCGGAAGGGCGCCGGGACGGGGAATCGAACCCGGCCCCTTTGATAGACAAACGGCGTCTATTTCATTCTATTTGATTATGCCGTGGCGCCGATGCCTCGGCCGATGCACCGCACTCTCCCTTTCTTTGGCCTCAACTTTGCCGTCCGACTCGGGATGCCTCGGGATGCCGTCGCATGCCTTCGGATGGCTGCAATACCATTACGCCCACGCATAATACTGCTGATAAAGGGAGGGGCGGGGGACGCGTCCACGCCGTCCACGTACTCGCCGGCCTGCCCGAGGAGCACCGAGGAGTGTCGTTATTTACTGGCGGTGCTTGGGGACCGCAATCTCACATTCGCCATCCTCAGTCATTTCACTAACGCGTCCAGTGTTTCTCTTGCTGTTTTCGTCATTTTTCGGCCGTAGCGCGCACAAGAGACGGAGCGAGGGGGTGGTTCACCCCTTAACCTCGCCCGCTTAATCTGTGGACTTGTGCCGCGCCGCCGCGGCGCGGGGACGGACAAGCTGTCCCGCCTGAAGGACGAACTCAGGCAGAAAGTCCGCGCGGAGCGGCGCGAAGGCTGCTGGATTTTAAAATCTCTGGAAAGCTGCCTTGCCGCGCCGCGCCTGCCGTGGCGCGCCTGCCCTGCCCGGCCCGGCGGAGGGCGCGGCAATTTGCATGCGATTAAGATTATTTGGCGCGGCTCGCCACGGCCCGGCTTAGCGCGGCCGCCTCGCCGTGGACTGCGCGCAACAGATAAGCGCGCCAAAATTCAAACTGTCTTTGGCGCCGCGCGCCGCGCCTCGGCTTTGGACGGCTTGACTGGCTTGACGAGCCGGGAGGCGAGGACGCAGGTTGCGCGAGCCGCCGCCAGGGGCGCCGCCGGCGCTGCTGCAACCGGAGCGGGGTGCGCCAGCGGCACGCCACGAGAACGCACCCCTATCGGCCGAGCGGCCCGGATAATCGAAATAATTGTAGGTCAGCGAGACAAGAGTCGCTGGGGGCACACCCCTCCATTCCACGCGTTCCCGCGCGTGGCTTTCAATTTCAGGAGTGGAAGGGGAGTCTTTTTACTTTGGGCCCGGGCCGGCCGGCCCACTCCCAGCGCCCCCCACCACATTAATTTTAGCGGGTCGAAAGTCCCCGCGCGCGCTCTCTCTGGCTAACGAGCTCTCGATGCGATCCCGCGATTGCGTGACACAAGAACCCTGTCAGAAAAAAATAAGAGAGAGAGAGAGAGAGAGAGAGAGAGAGAGAGAGAGAGAGAAAAACGGCCCCCTAAAACGCCGCATTGGACCCACTGACCCAAAACGGGGCCCGGCACGCCTGGATGCGTATTGGCTTCATCCAAACAAAATCTGCAGCGATAGTTTCATTTCGTCCCAATATTTGGCTTGAGAGGGAAAGGCCTGCGTCCACACTGTTTGCGCGTGGTTGGGGGAGGGGGAGGGGGGGGGCAGGGGCGTAAAAGTTGTGGCGGGGGACTCGCGCCCCGGTCGCCGAGCGAGCAGCGAGAGAGTGAGTGAGAGTGAGTGAGAGTGAGTGAGCGCAGCGAGGCGTACGTCTGCGGAGACAAGAGGCAACACAACGCAACGACGCCCCGAGATTAGCCGAACCGAATGAGCTGAGCACTGCGGACGCGGCCGACAGATGTCTTCGGGGGCCGCGCCCAGCCCCTCCCCTGCCAGGAACAACTTTCCCCTTCACCGCGAGCGGGCGATGCAGCGAGAGGGGGGAGGGGATGCTCCGGAGATAGAGGCCGCACCGCGCCGCCTCACAGCCTCACAGCGGGGACGAATGTTCATCACATTTATTACCTGGTGGGTGGGCCGGCCGGGCAGCGCCACGCCACGCAGCGCGCCGCACGCGGCCAAACTTTACGCGCACGTCTCTTGAGCGCGGTGGAGGACAAGGAAGTCTTGCCGCAGGGGAGAGGGGGAGGCGCGCAGAGAGCTGGCAGTTCATTCCTCATGAAAAGAAGGTGCTGTGTCCATATATCACTGCGGCGCAGCCTACCTACCGGCGTTTAGAAAACACAAACCCTGTCGCTCTCACTCGCACTCCCAGGCGGCGTCGGGCGCAGCAGGGCGCGGCACAAAAGGCGCGGTCGGTGTGACACGCGGTTTGGCTCTACAAAGCGGCCCACTGGCCCTCCCAGCTCCCAGGCCTTCCGCTGGCACACCGTGGCGGCCTAGGGCCTATGCTGACAGCCGCAGGGTGGCGCGAAGGGCCGCTGCGGGCTGAATGCGGTGTCAATGCGGCGGCGTCTGGACCAGGCGCCCCGCCCCGCCCCGCCCCGCCCCGCCAGACTCGTTTTGCGAAACAAAGCGCTCCATTCCATTGAGTCCGGGGCCGGCCGCCCGCGGGGTAGGCAACCACTCGGCGTCGCGCGCACGGCGGCTCGGCGGGACTGCCTACCCTCGACTTGGCGGGCGGCGGCCCCGGTGCCCGGGGGGCGAGAAGAGAAGTGAGTTCAAGGGGCGAGTCCTCCGAGGCCTGCACGTGCACGTCAAGGTGCGGTGCCTCGCTGCGTGCCGCCCTTGCTGCCGTGACGCCACCATTGTCGGCAGCGCCGCGTTTCCGCTGCCAAGTCGGAAATCGTTTGCGGTGGTGACGCCGCGGGGTGGGGCGGGGCGGGTAGGCGGGGTCGCAGAGACCTTGTACCAGTTTGCCCAGTGAGGCGCGCCGAAACCGAAAGGCACCTTCCCTCGCGCCACGCCGCGCCACGCCGCGCTACTCCACCCACGCGGCACCCGCTCCCCGCCCCCTTCCCCCGCCACACGCACCAGTTGGGCAATAAAGTAGGCGGAATCCAAGTTACAATGTTGCGGTTTTCCGTCGCAGCCCACGCCGCCGCCGTGCCGGCCTGCCGGCCCTGCCCCCAGCACGCCCAAGCCTTTCTTTTTTTCACGTTTTTGTTTCTACTTGACTTTCCCCCTCCACGCCCCGACGCCAGAAACGCGTCCGAATAATGCATGTGTCGGCGTCGACGGTTACGACGGCGCGGCGGCCGGTGTCCCCGCCAAAGGCCACGTCGGGCTGCTTGACCGTGCCGTCGTCACCGCGCGATGCGCCGCGGGGGCGTCCGACGAGAACCTCCCCTCCAGGACAACGGGGCGGCGGGGCAGCAGGGGTGCCTTTGTCCCATTGTGGACGGGGGCGCGCCGTGTAAAGTATGTGTTGGCACAAAGAGCGTGTTCCGGGGGGCGGGGCTGGGCGGGGCGGGGCGGGGTAGAGCGGGTCTGGTCGCTTTGAAGGCCGCCGTCATGCCATGCCGCCGCGCGACGGGCGTCCCAGACGCGTGTACCTCGCGCCGCCACCCTCTCGTCAACGTCGTCGTCGTCATCGGACGGTGGCTACGCTTGCACGGTGTCCGCATGGTGTCCGAGTCCACGCTCGGCGCGCTGCCAAAGACGCCGCCGCCAGTTTGAATATTTCCCTCGCGCGCCCTTGGAAAGAAGCAGTGCGTGCGAAGCGCGAAGCACGGGGTGGACGGCGGGGCCGGCGGGGCGTGGGAAAAGTGCCCCCAATCAGCCGGATGGGCTCGGACAAAACGGCCGGGCCTCGCCGTGCCGCGCCGTGCCGTGCCGCGCCGTGCCGTGCCGGGCCGGGCCGTCGTCGACCGGGCGAGTGGACGGGCCGTCACGCTTGAGCCGTTATCTGCCGCACACATTCTTTGCCTCCATAATGTCCGTGGCTATCACCGACCTCTGCCCCCGCCCCCGCTGGCCACTGCGTGTGCGCGGGGCAGGGGCGGAACAGTCGAGGGGGATCGGGATGAGGTGGCCTGCTGGAATAAATCCGCTTAGAACGAGATGTAAACGGGGCCCGGCCGTCAGTACATCGCGCTGAGCGCCGCCGAGGCCGTGGAGGCCGTCGCCTGCGCGGGATGCTGACGGTGATGGAATACAACCCCCGCGCGGTCCGGCGCGCGTTTTGTGTGGGCGAGGCCGGCGAGGCGCGGCGTGGCCGAGGGTGCCGAGGGCGTGACGACCTCGACCTGGCCCCGGCAGCGCTTTTTAATAAACGTCATCCCATTGGCATTGGCGCCTCCAGGCCAGCGCCGCGCTGCCGCACTGCCGACCCGGCCAATCAATGGCGCCGGAAAAGCGGCGGTCGAAAAAGAAGCGCGGCCGGGAAATAACGACTCGCTTTATTAGGTCCGCGTGAAGGGAAGCACCGAGCACGCCGCGTCGGCTCCAGCGCCGAGGGAGAACGACTGGGTGTCGAAGAAAGCGACGCGGAATTCTCTGGGGAAGACTTTTGCAGGAGTGTTTCCGGCGGGAATTTTAACGAGCAGTGCGGCCCGTGCATGGCGGCATGTTTCATCGCAGTACGCCCCGTCCCGTCGTTTGGCGGCCCTGGGCCCCACGAGGCGCTGTCGAGTGGAGATGTGTTGCGGTCGAAGGGCCCGCCCCGCCCCATCCGCCCCGCCCGCCAGGTCTCGTTCCTCACCAAACTTTCTCCTTCCGGGAGATATTCTACACTCTGTCAAACAGGTGTTAAAAGAGAACACGAAATTGTACTTCGCCATTGTGTCAAAGTGTTGAGCTGCTGGTTTTCATAAATAAAGGTTCGCTCGTCGCTCGCCGCCCCCTGCGAGGCTGTGGACGGCCGCGCACTTGTCCGAGTCGGGGCTCTCCGGACAGCATCCCTTTACAGCGTGCATCCCCGCCCCCGCGTCGCTGCGTGCAGCCGGACCGGCTTTACGAGTCGCTGTCGGGCTGCCCCGCCCCGCCCCGCCCCGCCCGCAATAAAAACGTCAGAAAGGAGCTTAGGACCAATTACCGGCGGAATGTTTCCCCAGGCACGGTGTGCCGGGCACAGCACGCCACCGCTAAGTAGTGGCGGGGCGGGGCGGCGGGGACCGCAAACTCAAAGTCAAATACGAGTGGGCATCGGGGAGAGAAACTCCGGCGGTGCGTGCTGCGCTGCTGCGCAGTGCTGTGCCGCTGAAAGTGAAATAACAAGTACTTATTGCCGTGCTGCAGGTGCGCAACGCCACGGCCGTGTTCATCATGAACCTGGCCCTGTCCGACCTGCTGTCCGGACTGCTGACGCTGCCGCTGGCCGCGTCCACGTTCTGGCGCCGCTCCTGGGCGCACGGCTCGCTGCTCTGCCGCCTGTTCCCGCTGCTGCGCTACGGCCTGCTCGCCGTGTCCCTGTTCAGCGTGCTGGCCATCACCATCAACAGATACGTCATGATCGGCCACCCCACGCTCTACCCCAGGTAAGCTGCTGTCAAATGGCCCCACCAAAACGACAAACCATAGCCCGCAAATTAGCCGTAAAAAAAATCCGCCTTGATGGGTATCGAACCCAGCGATTTACCGTCACCCCGCTTTGGCTGGTGCCACGCAACACCACACTCGCTTCTCGCTTATCCGACGCTAGGGGAGCGAAATAACCCCCTGTAACCCCGCGCCGCCCAGCGCCGCCGGGGAAGGGGAGGGTGCGGCGGGTTTGCTGTCACAGTGGCCTAGAGACGAAAGTTATTCTTGTCAGCGTGTTTCCACCCCCCGCTCCACTCCGCGCCCGGGAAGGTCTCGGTTAGATGCGAAGGGAAAGTCATGTCACCCTGGAGTCCTGCTGCTGCTTCTGCTGGAAATATGGAGGCGTCAAAGTTCCACGTGGCGGAGCACGGCGGGCCGGGAAGGCAGCGCCACGGCAACGCCCGGCCCGCGCGCCGAACAAATTCCCCCAAGCGCCGCGGCGTACGCGACGTGCCCAGGAATTTCTCATCCGCGTCGTTCCCTCTCGTTTTGTTGCCAGCTGTACCTCGGCTGTACCTCGGCGGCGCTTTTGGCGCTTTTGCCCGTTCTGCGCGTTCCACGCTCTGACTTTTGGCTTTTGTTGCAGGCTGTACCGCGGCCAGTACCTGGGCCTGATGGTGGGCTGCACGTGGGTGTGCGGCTTCGGCGCGCTCGTGGCCACGTGGCTGGGCAAGTGGGGGCGCTTCGGGCTGGACCCGCACATCGGCTCCTGCTCCATCCTGCCGGACAGCCACGGCCGCACCCCCAAGGAGTTCCTCTTCATCACCGCCTTCGTCATCCCCTGCATCGCCATCGCCGGCTGCTACGCGCGCATCTTCTACATCGTCCGCCAGACGGCGCTCAAGTCGCGCCTCAACTCGGCGGGCGCGGCGCGGCCCTCCCTGCGGTGCAGCCAGCGCGGGTCGCGGCGGCCGGCGAGCAGCTCCACCACGACGGGGCCCTCCACGTCCACGGCGGCGTCGTCCTCGGCGTCGGGGCCGTCCACGGAGCGGTCCTCGCACCAGTCCGTGTGCTCCACCAGGCTTTCCGTGCCGAGCGAGATCCTGCCGCCGCAGCCCACGCCGCAGCGGCCGCCGCGCTTGTCCGTGCCCACCTCCGTCGGCGACGAGTGCCGCTCCGTCAGCTCCATGAGCGCGTCGCCGCCGTGCACGCCGAGGCCATCGCCGCTGCCGTCGCCGTGCGGGTCGCTGAGGATCACGCGCTCCACGGGCAGCAAGAGGCTGTCCTCCGCCATGGCGGCGGTCATGCGCCGATCCAGCCAGCCCGGCCGCATGACCGCCAAGGACCGCAAGCTGCTCAAGATGATCCTCGTCATCTTCGCCTCCTTCGTCATCTGCTACCTGCCCATCACCGTGTCCAAGGCCTTCCGCGACTACATCGACGACGGGCTGCTCAACATCGCGGGCTACGTGTGCATCTACCTGACCACCTGCATCAACCCCATCATCTACGTGGTGATGAGCTCCGAGTACCGGCAGGCCTACAAGAACCTGCTGATGTGCCGGTCCGGGGACGCGCAGAGCGGCGCGCTCAGCGAGGTGCGCGGCGACAAGTGCTCGGGGAAGTGCTCTCGGGCCAGCACCCGGCAGCACGCCAAGAGGCCCCCCGACCCCACGTGACCGGCACGCCAGCCCCGGCGCGCACGCCCGGCCGGCCACGCCGACGGCCAGGCCCCGCCCGCGTCGCGTGACTAGCCCGCCGGCACGCCGCCCACGCCGCCCGCCTGCCTAGCCGCAGGCTGAGGCAATGACCACTGGTTACTTGGTTGTGAGAGACAATTACTCAACGTACGTCCGTACTCCGCTGACTGAACGCAGGGACGGCGCGCTTCGCCGCGGCAAGGCCCGGCGAGGCCCGGTCCGGCGGCGCAGCGTCAGGGTCAGGGCCCGTCAGGGCGCGGGATGCGCTCCACGTTATTTACAACAACTAATTTCTCATACTCTGTACAGTACCGGCTGTGGGCGTCTCTCGCCCGAGTCCATTGTATCGGGCCCGCGAAATATTTTCGCTATTAAGTGAGATCCTGGGCGCGGTCATCGGACGTAGCAGGACTCACTCGAGAGGAGAAGAATCTTTTGGTGGGGCACTCGTCTACTCGTCCTCCCCGGCCGCCGTCGACAGCCCGACGCAATAACCCAAGGCGAATATTGGCTCGCTTAATGGAAATTCATACTGGCTGGACCAACTGCCTTCCCCCCCCCCCTTTCCCCCCACGCGAATAAGCCGGCTGGCCGTCGACGCAGGGCGGAGGCTGACGAAGGCCAGCATCGTCGATGCCCTTGTGACGTCACGCCGCGCCACGCGCCGATGCGGAACAGCAGTGTCGTCGCTCTGTCCCTACGGCACACCCCGTGCGTGCGAGAGAGACAGAGCGACGAAGCGCTGCGCGGAATCGCCCGGCTGCACAAACACACGCGTGGTCGCTGCGCACGCACACACAAGCTCGCACGCATCGCGCGCGCTCCGTGCAGGGCGGCGGCGCCGAGTTTGAACGCTTTGCCTTTTGAAACGCGTTTGAATAACCATGACTCCGGAAGTACTGCGCAGGATCCCCTGGCTAAGATCAATATCGCGTTCAAACTCTCGGCCGGCTTGGCGCGCTTCGCGTGCCCCGCGAACCGACCCGCGAACCGAAGGAGGCTTGGCCGCCTTGGCCGCCTTGGCCCGGCCGAGCCGCCCCGGCCCTTTGCTTTCACAGCCTTCCTGTCTCGGGCCTGTTGTCGGAACTCATTAAACCGGCCATTTCCATTTTGGCGGGCTTTTCGATGCGGTGCGGGAGGCGGGGTGCTTCGACTGGTGCGCCCGGGAGGTGACGTGTTTGCAATGTCTTTTCTGCCGATTAACTTTTTAAAGAAACTCAGTAATCTAGACGTAGACATCGGTGAATTTGACAATAAGCCTTACCATGGATAATTCACTTGATCTCTGTTGTTAGCAGAGAACGCCAGAGAACAGCATTTGGATTTTGGAACATATTTGTTGTTACTTATTGAACCTTCTTCCTCATTCATTAAGTGATTTAGCCCCTCGCAGTCACGATGTAGCTGGCAAAGGGTTGTCTGGATGGCAAGTCTGGAGATTCTGGGATGGGGAGAGAGAGAGAAAAGGGGGGGGGGGCATGGTGCACAGTCGCTCAACCTACTGGCAGGCGAAAAGTAGTGCGTATTGCATCGGATGTTGTTGAACGTCTAGAGAGGAGAGAAGGGGCTAAGGGGTCGCAGGCCGCTGGGCCCGCACAGCCCGCACCCCGAGGCTCCGAGGTTGGGCCGAGGGACGTAGGAGGGCGCTGGCTCCGCGCCGCGCCCGCCGCGTCGAGGACCGAGACGGTCGAAATGAAGCGATAGCAAGCGCCAAAGTTTGTCTCGAGCTCATTAAGACTGCTAGAAAACGCGTGTGTTAACGATGTGCTTAAGACTGTGCTGCTGTGATGCGATTAAGAAAGTGTTAAGATTGCCGACGTCCGTCGACGTGCGAGGTACACCGAGGAGTCGCACGGGCGATGCCCGGCAAGGTTGCTGTGAATGCCTAGGGATAGAAACATAATGTTTTAAGATGACTGCTTTTTACTGTTGAGAGGGGTAGGTAATTCAATGTTACGTCTTCGTTTTAGGTCATTCTTTAGTTTGACTGACATTCTTACATGTTCTGAACCAGGTTTGACGCACTCTGGAAAGTTATCATCTTGTAGTCTGTGTAAGAAACGTATGGACCACCAAGTAAATTATGTACAATGAAACCCATTTCTCATACATATGTCAATGTTCATTAGTTTCCATTTTATTTACTACTAATTATTATTGTTCAAGAAACTACAACCCTTTTTTAAATGTTAAAGGGCGTTATTGACGTTTTAGGAGTGTTTAGAAATTAGTAGTGTTAGTGAACATTCACTGTAAAAAGAAACACAGAGCGCATGTAAGCTCTGTTGTTGTTAAGAAACATGTTCATACGCACGATCCATATCACGCTCTGCAGAAATTTTTCGCTCCACCGGTTGGATGTTTTAAGTTTGTATCAGTGAGCCCTTATTTATAAAAAGCTCTAAGTTTTAGCAAAAAAGTTGATTTTTTTTTGTTTCGTAAGTACGCGGCCTGTACAAGCCGCACCATCTCCGGTTTCCTCGTGCCCGCCAGGGCGGTTGGCAGGACTCCATGCTCACGAAACATAACATTACTGTTCCCACTCCACTTGTATTTGTACTCGAAATGATATCAATCAAAATGCGACAGCGTAGAGTCGCAAACCCAGTTCTCTGTAAATCTTCCATTCTCATCACTGCCAAGTCATTACACTGTTTTCGTAATTATACATTGTTTTTGATCTCACTGCCTAATAATTATGATAACATTATTTGTTCGTCTGTACACTCAAATTTTGTATAATATTATTAAACGAATCATTCCAAAATCAACCGTGTGTCTCTCACTTTCATTTCGCCTGGACCTAGCCTAATCACGACACACGCGAAGGCCGCGCGCCGCGTGCGCCACGGCACGGCACAACACGACACGCGCGGACGTCGCCTCGTCGTCGCGGTGATGCAGCAGACTGTAGTCGGCGGGCACCGCCACCTCGCCGCCACCGCCCCGGCGGTCGTGGGAACGCGGCGTCGCGACGCCACTGGACTGCGTGACTGCGTGCGTGCTGCCTGGCCCAGCGCCGGGCCGGCGCGCCGCGGTCCGTCCCGTCCGCTCACTCCGGCAGACGCCGCCATGACGGTCACCGCGTTCGCCGCCACCAAGGTGGACGCCAAGGTGGACGCCAAGCCCCCGGCGGACGCCGCCAAGACGGACGCGTCCAGGACGACGCCGGCCGCCCCGCCATGGCTGACGCCGCAGCTGCTGACGGCCGCGCTGCGCGAGGAGGACGAGACCACCGGCCAGGTGACGACGATCCGCGTGCGGCCTGCCACCGGCGCCAACGAGAACTACATGAGCGAGCTGTACCGCGTGCACGCGCACATCGGCAAGGTACGGCGGGGCGGTCCGTCAGCCCTCCTCTCCTTCTCGCAGCTAAGTCTCAATGTCCCCATTTCGGCGGCAGGCTGAGGTGCGGCGGCTCATCGTGAAGGCCGTGCCGGCCGCGGAGGTGGCCGCCGCCATCGTCTCGTCGTGCGGCCTGTTCTCGCGCGAGACGCGCACCCTGCGGGACCTGCTGCCGCGCATGGAGCGCCACCTGGCGGCCGGGCTCGCGCACCGGCCCAAGCACCACCAGAAGCTGGGGCCCAGGGTCATCGCCGCCTGCTCCAACGGGGCGCTCGTCATGGAGGACCTGTGCGAGAGGGTGAGGTTCGCGTTGGTGGCGCTCTGGCAAGGCCACTGTTTGCACCAGGCTTGCTAGACGGGTTGTGCTTGCAGTCCTACTCCAACGTGCCGCGCGCGGACGGGCTGGACCTGCCCCACAGCCTGGTGGCCGTGCGCCTGCTCGCGCGCCTGCACGCCGCCTCCCTGCTGCTGCACGCGCGGGGCGGCGAGCACGCCCGCGCCCTGGAGGCGCTCGGCAACTGCTGGCTGGACGAGCCGATGCGCACCACGTTCCAGACGCTCTTGACGACGTCGCTGCTGACGCTGGCCAACGCGGCGCGTACCTGGCCGGCGCTGGGGGACGCCGTGGCCGACAAGATGAAGGCCGCCGCCCCCGTGGCGCACAAGCGCGTCCTCGAGGCCCTCGCCAACAAGCCGGGCGACTTCCTGGTCATGTGCCACGGCGACGCCTGGTCCAACAACATCATGTTCGACTACGACGAGGAGACGGCGCAGGTAGTAGCCGCCAGGGGAGTGGTGAGGGACGGTCGTCGTAAAGCCAACCCGCACCGCTTGTTGCAGGTGCGGTCCGCGCTGCTCGTGGACTTCCAGATGGTGTCCTGGGCCAGCCCCAGCATGGACCTGCACTACTTCCTGACGCTGGCCGTGGCGCCGCGCGTGCTGCTCGAGTCGTCCGCGCGCGTGGTGCGCGCCTACCACGCCGAGCTGGTGGAGTGCCTGGCCTGCATGGGGTGGCGCGGCGACCCGCCCTCCCTGGCCGCGCTGCAGAGGGACGTCCGCGCCCGCGAGGTGTACGCCTTCTCGTCCGCCGTCAACCTGCTGCCCATCCGCTTCGTGGACGCCAACCTGGACATGGACTCGGCCGCCATGATGGAGGTGGACAGCCCCGTCAGGCTCAAGACGCTCAACGACTCCCGGTGCCGCAAGCTCATGGAGGCCCTCATACCCGGCTACCTGGCCCGGGGCTTTCTCGACCCGTGACACTCACGGTAAACTTGAGTGTGGAGGAAGGAAACAGTACACACTTTGGCACTCAGCGTGCGCACTCGGTACACAGTTGACTGTTCTCAGTGCAGTCAGCTTCGGGGATTCTGAAGCGGGCTGAACCGAGGCGAATGCGTCGCGCGCTGTTTCGCCCGGGCCGGTTGTTTCTTGTCCATTTCATCTTTCATTTCTAAACCGAAATGAAGTAAAACATTTGAAAACCCCCGCAGTTCCTGTTTTTGAACCCAAGGCAGTGGTCCGGAGGTGCGTCTGGCGACAGGACTTTTCTGTCTATATATATATATATTGCGGGCGTGCCGAGTATTGGGCGTGGCAGGCACGTGTCTGGCATAGGGAATCAGCTCCGAGGCGCGCAGCGCGCACGGCCCACAGACAGGCCCGAAACACCGACACTCCTCTCCTCGACCCCAGCTGCAAGCTCGCAGCCACCAGCCACTCTCCGCCCCGCCCCGCCCCGCCCCGCCCTGCCCTCCCGAATTCCGGTATTCTCCACCCTGTTTCCTCCGCGCCTCCGCTATTGTTATAATTCCCCATTCAATCAATGTTCCCCGGCCTGGAAGCTGGAGGCACGCTGGAAGCGGGCCGGCGAGGCGAGGCGACTTACCGGCCAACTTTTTTCCCTTCTGCAAGAAGAAGTGCGGTTTAGCGGTGTGGCGGCGCGGCCCACTCGCACCGGAAGTGAAATCGCGCGGGCCGGCCGCCAAACTTGGAGCGGAAGCGGACGCGGCGACGGCTTACCGAGGGCGCTGCTGCGCGCGCCGAGAGCCGCCTGCCTGCAGCCTGGAGCAGGCCAAGAAGGCCGAGGGCAGGGCCGCGGCGCCGCGGCGGTCAAGTTTGATAAATGCGTGATTGGCGGCCACTTTGCGGCAGTTACTCCTCCACGCGGTGTAAGTGGGCAAAAAGAGCGACAAAACGCCCCCTTGGCCAAGTCCCGCTCGGGCTGAACACACAGCCCGCCTTCTCACTGCGTGGACTCCGCTCGGTGAGGCCGGAGTGAAAGGGTGAAGAAAGAGCGCCCTAACGAAGGCGGTGGACGGACGGGCGGGACGGGGTCACAGAGTGAGCAGCTAACTAGAAAAATGCTCCCTATTTGCAGCCCCCACTTTTTGTGCGGTGCTTTATTTTTATTTCTATTTTTTTTGCGGCCGCCGCTTGCCGCTTTGCGAGCGGCCGGGCCGGGCCAGGCAGATCGGACGTGTCATTCTTTCTCTCGGCCGCAGCGGCACTCGTGAGCGCAAGTGGCAGTATATGACACGGGGGGAGAGCGAGACAGAGACCGAGGGGAGGGAGAGGGGGTGCGTTTAAATCCTCGCAGGTAAATTGCCTTATTTGCGAGAGGAAGAACGACCGACAAACGACCGCGCCTTCTTTTTTTTTTCTTTGCGGACAGCCGCTCAGTGGCTGTGCCTCATTTCGCCAGTCACCCACACACATACGCTCTCTCTCTCTCTCTCTCTCTCTCTCTCTCTCTCTCTCTCTCTCTCTCTCTCTCTCTCTCTCTGGACACACACACTTACACACACACACACGAGAGAGCTAAAAAGCGGGGCGTAATGAAGTGGATCATGGCGGTGACGCGGGACAGTGCGCTGCTCAGAGTGCCGGAAAGAAGTTGGATTGAATTAAATAAATTGCATTCTTGTGTCGCGCATGACGGAAGCCCGGCCGCGCGTTAGCGCCCCGCCATGCCCCCCCCCCCTCTACATTCCGCAAACTGGCACATTAGGGCGACCAGGGCAGCCAGGGCAGCGGCCGGAAGCGCGAGAAAGACGGCCAGTGCATGTCTCTGTTTTTACGCGCACGTATTTTGGCCGCTTCTTTCCTTTTTTTTGTTTTCGCTATCCATATTTTTTCCGCCATCTATTATTTAAATCCCCGGCACCGCAACGCCGCGCGCCATTTCTGCCCTGTTTGTGCCTCTCTCTCCTTATCTAGGCGCGGCGGGCCGCGCGGACAGCCATATTTCCGGTGACGAGACACGCGAAAGAAAGAGAGAAAGAAAGAAAAGAAAAGCACAGCAGGCACAGGCCGGTGGGCGCGCGCGCTGGCGCTTTGCTGTTTCGGGGGAAACGCGTTGCTTTGGAAAGAAAAGGCGGGAATATCGTGTCGCGCTGCCGTGACGTCATTCCCGCGCGAATGACACACAGCAAACACCACACAAAAACAAGAAAGATGATTTGCAGATGAAGAGCGTGGCTTGCTTTCGTTTCGCGCGCAAGGATTATGAATGGGACGCAACGCCGCGCATAGGTAATGCCCGCTGTGACTTCAGACCCGCGCGCGATGGAGCGTCAGCGCGTCAGCCTCACAATTTTGGGAGTGGTCGTGTTATGAGGGTCCGGCCCCCGATGCCCTGTCGCAATCATCAGTTGTGCCCCGGGCCAGAAAGAGAGGGAGGTGGCATAACGCCGCTTGCGTCTCGTCCCTGAATCGCCTACGAAGCAAGCCCGACGTTAATCGTCGGCCAACGCGGAGGATGAAGCAAGCGAAGCAAGCGAAGCAAGCGAAGCAAGCGAAGCAAGCGAAGCAAGCGAAGCAAGCGAAGCAAGCGAAGCAAGCGAAGCAAGCGAAGCAAGCGAAGCAAGCGAAGCAAGCGAAGCAAGCGAAGCAAGCGAAGCAAGCGAAGCAAGCGAAGCAAGCGAAGCAAGCGAGCAAGCAGCAAGCGAAGCAACAGCAAGAAGCAAGCGAAGAACGAAGCAGAAGCAAGCGAAGCAAGCGAAGCAAGCGAAGCAAGCGAAGCAAGGAAGCAAGCGAGCAAGCGAAGCAAGCGAAGCAGAGCAGCAAGCAAGCGAAGCAAGCGAAGCAAGCGAAGCAAGCGAAGAAAGCGAAGCAAAAGCGAAGCAAGCGAAGCACAAGCGGAAGCAAGCGAAGCAGCGAAGCACAGGAGCAAGCGAAGCAAGCGAAGCAAGCGAAAGCAAAGCGAAAGCAAGCGAAGCAAGCGAAGCAAGCGAAGCAAGCGAAGCAAGCGAAGCAAGCGAAGCAAGCGAAGCAAGCGAAGCAAGCGAAGCAAGCGAAGCAAGCGAAGCAAGCGAAGCAAAAGCGAAGCAAGCACTAGCAGCTTAGTTTTTGACAGTTGTTTTCTTTTTTTTCGGTCCTAACGACCAGCACCCTGCACACGGAGTCCGAATCCCCCGCTTGGATTGGACGCAGCGGCCGCCCAAAGTCGCTGGAAATCACGATTTCCAGACATGCTCTCGGTAAAACACGAAGAAAGGCCAAAGAAAAGGGGGGCGTGGTGGCGGGGCCCCGCCGGCTCTATAGAGACTCACACAGACGGACCCACACTGCAGCGCGGTCACTCACACATCGGTCTCACACGCACTATCGCTCCACAGGTTGGGCGGGGCGGGGCGGGGCGGTCGGATTGTTTTTGCTCGTTGGGTCGGCGACGCGGACGACGCGCCACCAAGGCGGAAAGCTAAATTAAAACTTGGCCGCTACGTGACGGCTCCAAAAACGCGTCCCGGTTTCGCATTTTTCTCATTCTTCTTTTTCATCACTCGCTTTGGGCTGAAGGAAAATCCGCGTCAGGACAGCCAGATCGGACTTCGACCTCGGCGGAGAGAGAGAGATAGAGAGAGAGAGAGAGAGAGAGAGAGAGAGAGAGAGAGAGAGAGAGAGAGAGAGAGAGAGAGAGAGAGAGCGCTCGGCCCAAAGCGCTCGGCTTGTTTGCGCCACATTTTTACACGCGCAGTAATTCGGCGACGGGGCCGGCCGGCCAAATTAGTGAGAGTACTCTGCAAAAGTGATTAAGTTGGCGAAACTTGTCATCGCTCCGCCCCGGCGGCCAAGGCCCGGCCAAGGCCCGGCCAAATCAGTCAGGCACCGCCCCTTTCCCTCCCTCGAATCAGAGCAATTCATCTCGGCGTCCGAAAACGCGCCCTGGTTCGTATAGGCTCACTCCGAGCAGTTCATGTCGTCGCTCTGTCCCTCTCACACCCCTACGGGTCGCCCCATGAGTGCGAGAGAGACGAGCGCGCTGTCCGGAATGGTCTGCTGGTCGCGGCACCACTCGCCGCCGCAGACATGCGCAACAATTCGTGAAATTGAAACGCCCCTCCGGCCGCGTCACTGCATTTACTTGCTGCAGGCAGAGCGAGAGAGAGGGCCGAGGCCGCTGCTGAAGAGGCCGAACTCCGCGGGCTGGCGCACTCGCCCAAAATGGTGCGTTTTCCTCTCGAAAGTGCGAGCGAGGCGGCGCGGCGAGGGCGAGACCCCCTGCACTGCACGTTGAGCGAACAACGCGGCAGCGAACTTGTATTTTCCGTGCGGCACGACAACGGCCGCGTCGCCGCGTGGTGCGGTGCCGTGACACTGCCGTGCCGCGCCGCGCCGTGCCCCGACACGCTGCAGAGGCTGCAGAGCAAGAGTCGCTTAATTAGCGGTCCACAGCATCCCTCGCACAGTCCGCAAAGTCGCAGCGTCGCAGCGTCCCCGGAACACCCATCGCCACAAACCAGGGCTGGTGGCTCCGGTCGGTACGTACTGCCGCCGGGTCCGTGTTGTTGGAGAGAGAGAGAGAAAGGGTTAATTGACCGATGCGGTACCGCTCGGGTACCGTAACAGATCGACCCGCGGTGTCCACCTCCCTACGGTGTGCGGGAGAGACGGGATGGTGAGGTCTGAAGGTAGGCGGCTAGCCCGTAATGGCAATGGTAACGAAGGTAGGCAACGCGTCGGCCGCTCCGCGCGCGGGTTGCCTGGGCGCCGTCTGCCGGGCGCTCCGTGCTGGACATGCTGGGCTTGCTGCACGTGGGTGGTGGTCCCGCTGGACGCCCGCCGTCCCCTCGCACTGGCCTAACCTGCCGAACGGGGAGGAGTCAGCCGAAGACGTAAACTGTGGGCACAAAGACGCCTCACTGTATTTTTTTATATTTTTTTTTTACAAATGTGCGCGGACTGAGTGCGCCGAGAACCACTGTTTTCGAATAATCACTGGTGAGACAGACGGCTGGAGCGGTGTGAGGGGTCAGGTCGGGTCAGGCGCCCTCGGCCGCGCGACGGGGCGTGAAGTTGACCGTCATGCCCCCCGCCGCCCTGAGCGCGATGTCGAAGCACAGGGGGATGTCGACGAGGTGCATGTAGCCGTCGGCCACCGGGTCGACGCGGTAGTGGCGCAGCGTGGTGGCCAGGAAGGTGGTCATGTTCATGAGCGCGTACTTGCCGCCGATGCAGTTCCTGTAGCCGGTGCTGAAGGGCATGTAGGCGCAGGGGTGGCGGCCCTCGCTGTTCTCGGGCAGGAAGCGGTCCGGGTCGAACTTGAGCGGGTCGGGCCAGTGCGCGGCGTCGCGGTGCGCGCCCAGGATGTTGATGGCGACCGCCGAGTCGGCGGGGAGGGTGTGGCCCAGGAACTCGGTCTCCTCGTGCACCTGGCGCGTCAGGAAGGGCACCGTGGGGAACAGCCTCAGCGTCTCCTTGATGAAGCGCTCCGTGTACTCCAGCCTGCAGCGGCCCGGAAACAGCGAAACAGGGTTAGAGAGAAAAGAAACATCGCACACAGTGTGATGGAACTCCGAAACAACAAAGCACATTAGTTTGTATCCTTCATTTCCTCGCCTGTTCAAGTCGCTGGGCGTGACTCTCCTGTCTGATCCCTGGAACACGGTCTGGATCTCGGCGTACACCTTGTCCTGGATGTCGGGGTGCAGCGAGAGCGCCTTGAGCAGCCAGATGATGGTGGCCGCCGTGGTGTCCACGCCCGCGGCGAAGAAGGTCTTGAACTCGTCCAGCACGTCCTCGTCAGGCATCCGGTAGCCCGGAGCCAGCAGCAGCGTGTCCACCAGCGTGGTGGGCCTCTTGACGAAGTCCTTGGTGAAGTCGCCCCGCAGCTCGCCCCGCTGCCGCAGCTCCTCGCGCCGCTTGTCCAGCACCACGCGCGCGTGGTGGTCGATCTTGGCCCTGGTCTTCTTGATGAGCCTGCCGCGCGCCGTCAGCCCGAACACCCAGTCAGACCAGAGCAGCGGGTTGAAGAAGCGCTCGGTGCTGCACTTGAGGAACAGCTCCAGAAAGCGGATGAGGTCCAAGATCTCCTCCTCGAAGTCCGCCCCCACCTTCTCGCTCAGGGTGGTCTTCATGAAGGCGCCGCAGGTGACTCTCCGCAGGTTGTCCAGCAGGTTGTCGTCGGCGCACCAGGGTTTGACGCGGCGCACGAAGCCCTCGGCCTCCTCGGCGAAGTAGTCCACGAAGTGCTCCAGGATGCTGAGGCTGAAGGCGGGCTGCAGCGCCTTGCGGTGCTCCCGCCACAGCGGTCCGCTCAGCTGGATCAGGCCGTTCTTGGCCACCATGTGCAGCGAGGCGTAGAAGAAGCGCGACTTGTCGGCGAGGTCCTTCCGGCGCAGCACGTGCTCGATGTCCTCGGCGTTGTTCACCATCACCACCACGGTCGTCAACAACGTCAAACGCCTCATCTTCCTGTCGCCCTGCCCCAGGATGAACTTGAGGCGGTCCTCGTTGGCCAGCCCCAGGAAGTCCAGCGCGTTCCCCAGGACGGGCAGCGACGGCGGCCCCGGGATGGCCTGCTCCAGGGCGCGGTGGCGCCGGTACCAGAGCGCCCACTTGGCGAGCAGGGCGGCGACGGCCGTCACCAGGACGATGATCACCGCGGTCGCCATGGCTGGCGGAGGGTCGAAGCGAAGTGCCAGAGCGACTGCACACACGCCAACTCATGCACCGCGCACGGCCAAACCAGTCAAGCCAGTCAGGCCTCGCGCAGATGGGACTGGAGTGGAGTGGAGGGTGGAGGCACTGCCGCTGAGCCTCGGCGTGATAGCCATGCCCCGGGGGGCGCGGCCAGGCCGCAGGGCCTTGCCTTTCGCCATGGCCCTTTGGCGGGCCTTTACCTCGCCACCGCCACTGCTCACGGCCCATAGGGCCCCGCTGGTGTGTGACAGAACGGCGGCACACACAACACACAACCGCCGCGGCCGACCCGACCCCGCGCCCTACGCTCCACGCCCTGCACCCCACGCCCCCAAGCCGCACCGCGCGGCCTGGCGCAGCCGCCCTTCCCTTATCCAGTGCGCCAGCCGAACCGCGCGCCGCCTCCTCATAGAATATACAGTGTTAAATGATGGAAGTTTGGCTTCAAACTTTGCAACCTTTTGCAACTGAGACAAAAGGCACAAAGGCCTGGGCCATTGTCGGGCAGGCGCGAGAGCCCCCCCACCCCTCCTCCCCCTTTTCCAGGGCCCGCGTCCCACACGCCAACGCCAAGTCTCGACGAAAGGCTGCGGGGTTTGGCGCAGGGATGGCGCGAGGTTCGGGGTTCGGCCTGGCCGCAAGCCCGGCCTAGAGCCTCGCCTGGCCCCGATGCATGATGTTGAGAGGCAAACTGCGCTAAAACTCCCTGGGCTGCAAGCAGTAGTCTGGAGGCGAGACCTAGACCGGGCCGCGCGGCACGCACGTTAGATGGAGTGAACACGATACGGCCCGCTCGGCCCAGCGGCCGCCCTGCCGCCCAGAACAGTCTAGCCACGAACAGTCGTTACGGGAAAGTCGTAACTTTTCAACGAGGCAGTGTCTGAATTTTCACGTTAAGACAGTCCACCGTTCCGTACATTTTGTGGGCAAAATTTTGCGACGAGTGGTCAGAAAAGAAAAATTTATGTATTGGCGTAACTAGTATTTATTAATCTGAAAACGATTTTATGAAAGTCTTCCAATAGAGTTGCATCGAGATATAAGCCTTGAGGCATGCAAAGATAGACCGAAAGAAGACGCAGGCGCGAGGCGAGATGAGCAAATATACGTTCTGACGCAAATCACTTGGTCGATTTGCAACTCGCATTTCATTGTTGACACAGTGGCATCTCCGCTGTTCTTTGGGGAGGGGGAAGCAGGCGCTGTCTTTTTTTCTGTCCATGCTCGATCGTCTTCGTGTTTTTGCTAACTCTTTCTCGTCCCATATATAACGGACATAAACAAACCGTGGCTGTGGCAGTGATGCAGGGGAAAAAAGAAAGGAAACCGAAACACTGCGCGTCCACGCGCTGAAAAAAAAATCTCATTCAACGAACGTTAATGAAAGCAGATGATCCGTCGCGTTGCACAACTGCTGTGATAGCCGAGAGGTTAGAGACGTGGGATCGAGTTACCGCAGGCCGGCGTTCGAATACCAGCGTCACAAAAGTTTTTTCGACTTACTATCCTAAGGGTGGGGCCATGAGAGCGGAGCCGTGTGCAACAGACCCACATGCCGGAGGTTCGACTCCTAACAAATATTTCCATTTAATTTTACTGCCTCACCCAGTGCGGTTGAAACACGTAAACGTGAGCCCACTCCGAGCATGGGACGTGGTGGTCCAGGGAGTAGAGGCGTCGATTCTCAGTGCTAGGGTCGGCGGTTCGACTCCCCCACCTTCTTGCGAAATTTTGACCGGGTCGGTCGAGTCCTGTTGCGTCAAGAACCCACCTCACGCCGGTCCCCTCATCATGGGCCGTGGTGGCCAAGAGCGTAAAGTCGTCTGATCCCGATGGCGGGGTCCGGGGATCGAATCCCATCATTTCATTACATTTTTCGAACGCCTTCCTCCCAGTGCAACTCAAACCCGTCGTCCAACACGCTGCCAGACGTACAAGCGTGATAGCGTAGTGGTCAGAGTCACATTCACCTGGCCACTCCGCTGTGGGTGTCTAAAAAGCAATCCGCTTCGGCGGGTTGGCCTCGGCACTGGAGCGATGGAGTATTTGATCCATCAATCCAGACCATCCGGTGTGTGGTTGCGGGTGGTGCCTCCTTGACTCGTCGGGGAGGCGATGATAAGTCCTTTGAAGCTGGCCTAAAACGCTGTATGTTCGGTACGGGAGCGCCGGACAGTGGGGGTACCATGGGGTACACAACCAACCCTACGAAAACAAGAAGCTCCCACCAAACCTCTTCTCTGTCTGAGTCTCTCTCTGTCTCTCTGTCGTCTCACTCTACGTCCCGCCCCTCAAAGAGCTTCGTACTGGGTGCTCTCACCCAGCTGCCTGAGCTTTGGGGTCCTACTGGGTCCCCCGGCGAACGCTTGGGTCGCTGACGGGATTAACCCCAGGTACCTGATAGCACCGGTTCCCATCCCGAACACCGAAGTAAAGCAGGAGGCCTCCCCATTAAGACTGGGGAGGGGGTGTAGAGTTCAAATTTTTTTTCTTTTCCCTTTCAAATTTCTCAGTCAATACTCGTTCGGTTCGGTGCGCCTCATTGCCAGCCAGCCACCAGCCACACGCACCAGCCCGCCCCGGCAGCCAGCCCCTATTATATTGTTTAGGATACGCGCTTCGTTTCTGGACTCGAGAGTAAAAGCACGCTGACACCTTCATGTGTATAGTAGTTTTAAGTATGTTTCAAGTGTGAAGGTATCATCTGCTAAAAAGCAATAAGAACGCTGTCTTAATCTGAGTACCTAAGGCAAAGCGTATTTGCACGAACGCGCGGGACACTTTCTTCATGTCACTCCCGCAAACTGTGTGACCACAAGCAAGCAAACAGCAAACAAACAAAACAAACAAACTCAGGGGGAAAAAAACACAAAGCAGTTCTGGAGAGGGCGCTGGCTGGGCTGGGCCGGCTGCCTATCATTATATGCTTGCATGCACGCGTGTGCACTCACACACACACACACACACACACACACACACACACACACACACACACACACACACACACACACACACCACGCATGCATACAAGCAGCTCGGACTCCGGACTCTGGAATGGCGAGCGGCAAGGTAAGCTGCCTTATCACAAACCGCAGCAGTGGTGTGCGTTGCCCCACGCCGCCCCGTGGGTGTGCCGTAGCGATCCTGGTTGCTTTTAAGGCGATTTCCCATCTTTTTTTCCAACCGCTTTCGGGGAAGCTGTGAGGCGGGGGGCCCTTGTCCCAGCCTCAGAGATGACCTCTGAGGCCTCCTCTCCCCGCCCCCCTCGCCCTGAGACACACCCTATGAGCCGAAGTCACCTTTTTGCCCTTCTTGCCACGCTGGCCTCGCCCTTGATGTCCTTGACCATGCCTTGGCAGTGCAGTGGCCGAGGCCGTGCGGTTGCAGAGGCATGGCAGAGGCCAAGGGAAGCTCCAGAAATGCCGCGAGTCCGCGAGTACAACGGCCATCCCGTTGGCCGTGCTTTTGGCCGGGCCTGTCCGGAGAAGAAAGGTCACTGCGACTTTCTCTGAAGGGATCCGAGTGGGCATGACGGAGGGCATGCGGTACGTGCGCGTCGATTTGAACTCGGCGTGTCTTCCGTCGTGGCCGGAAGTACAGGAAAGTACAGTAGAGCACCGGCCGGCCGCACGGCACGCGCGCCAGCCATGGCCCAGCGGGGTGGTGGCCAGTTTCCGGAAATAGGTGAAGCCTCGGAGTGTCGCCGCGCCACCGTCTCCACCTTCTCTTCCCTTCCGGGACGCGCGGCGTTTTCCGCTTTCCCGGCCGTCTCATAAAGGGAAAGCTTTTACGCTCAAGGACCCGAGGACTCGGACGCCCTCTGCACGGCCCTGGAGTCCTTTGGCGGGAATTCCCAGTCCCAGGCATTCCGCAGTCCTGCCACCGGACTGCCCTGTAGCACCCCACCCCGCCACTGCTGCGCGTTGCGCGTCCTGCCGAGTTTGCTGGGGGGTGGTTTCTGAATGTGACACCCTCCACCCCTTCCCCGAACGGGGCTGGCCAAGGCATCACGGGACATCGCTCTGTCCTCCATGAAGGCTGTATGAATACAAATTATCCAAACATATGCAAATCAGGGGGGCTCGCTCTCGAGCCCTACGCTGCTAGTTTGTGCGTGTGTGGACGCGGCCGTGCGCGCGCGTGTGTGCGCCCGTCCGTGTGAGCGGCGCGCGCCTGTGTGCGTGCGCTTGCCATGCTCAACCCGCTTTCGGGGTGGCCGTCGTGTCAACGGCCAGTCGCTACTAACAGCCGCCGCCAAGTGGCAGCCACTGCGCGACGTGATGCTCGACGTGGTGCTCGACGCGATGCTCGACGCGGTGCTCGCAGAGGACGCGGAGAAAGTCATCGCGGTGCTTCCCCCGAGATAAGGCCGCCGGTAAGACACACACTGTCGGGGTAATGTCACCCGGCCCCCCTACGCCGCCGAGAGCAGGCTGATTCCGAGCAATGAGTGCCGTCGTCGCGCTGTCTCTCTCCCACGCGTGAGGCGTCCCGGCAGGGTGCGAGAGAGACAGCGACGAAGGCGCCGTCCGTAATCAGGCTGCTGAGCACGGCGATGGCGGCCCGCGTCCTCGGCGCGTCCTCCACGGCACGGCGTCCCATTGTGCACCGAGGGCCGCCAATGCTGACATCCATTCAGCCCTCTCCGCCAACGCATTGATCGGTATTCGAACCCCGGCCCGGCCATCCGTTCGAATGTGTCTCCGGCCGCGCGCCACGCGCGCCGCGCCTGCGTGACGTGTGAAGACATTTCCGGTCGGAATAGGCCAATCGCAGAGGCGGCTCCGGCTTCGGAGGCCCTAATCTTGTTTTGGACGGCCGTGCCTTGAATGTGATTCAGATCGCGGGGCGGTGAAGGAGGCGGGGGCGGGGAGACGGAGCGGAGAGAAACAACCTTGACGAGTGATTGGTACTGTATACACCCCGGCCAGCAGGGCCAGCGGGACTACACGGGTGGCTCGCGCGCCGCGTACAGAGCGCCTGGAGCGCGCCGCGCGGAACCGCACCTTCAAACCACAATCAAAACTTTGTCCAGCCCCGATACTGAAGTACGGTAAATCTACTTAGAACAAAAAGTGACAAAAAAATAGGGCTCTGAATGCCTCCACGGCGAGCGACGGGGAGGAAAGTCTCAGGCTGAGGAACGAAAGGCAGATCACAAAAATTTTAAAGTTGTTTCTTTCAGTTTTCACTGCCTGGCGGTTGTTAAAAATAACAGTGTGGCAGGCAGCTTTTCGGCTCAAGCTTTTTAATGAGGTTAATGAACTTACCTCCGCGCCACAGCTTGCGCCACAGGAAAGCCGGCCGAAGGGATGGGCTGGCCCGCTTCCTCAAGGCCGTGCAGCCGGTGCAGGATCATGACCAAGGCGTTGAGCAGGGCGAGCAGGGCGAGCAGGGCGCAGGAAGAGTGCACGCTATTGTGCTTCCGCGTCTCCGGTGCCTGTCATGCCACGAGGACGGGGCGGGGAGCGGCGGGGCGGGTTCGGGCCAGGGCCCTAGCTTCGTTAGGCGCGCGTCTCTGACAAGCAGAGGACTCCTTTATTCATTAATTTTGTCACTTTCACTTCATTTGCCGACCGCCCTCGCCCCTCCCGGCCATCTCTGCTTTCCCGGCGGGGAGGCGGGGACGAGAGGGTTCGCTGACCGCCAGGCACCGCCAGGGCCAGACTGGACCCGGGCAAAATCCCCAACTGCACGCACGAAGAAGCACACAAGCAAGCCAGCCCTGTTTAGCGCAACACAGCCAGGGTTGTTACCAGGAGAAGGGGCGCTGTAGCCGTGCCGTCAAATCTCGCGGTATGTGCACTTTTTGGTCCGCTGATGCGTGTTGATCTGTCGCTGCGGGGTGTGGGTGTGTGTGTGTGGGGGGGGGGGGCTACGCGACAGGGAGAAGGACGGCCCAGCAGGCCGATTCCGAACAGCGCTTCATCGCTCTGTCTCTCTCGCACGCGTGCGCGACGCCCCACGGGTGCGAGAGAGACAGAGCGACGGAGGCTGTTTGCGAGGCGACCAGCCCCACCCTCCCCTTCCCGCGGGACCAGGATTAGCCCATCCATCATGGTACAGGTGGCGCGTTGTGCCGTGCTGGCCGTGCCGCCCCTCGGCCCGGCCGGCCCTTGTCGCTGTTGCTGCTAGTTCCGCGCCGTGATTCCCACTTCCGGGAAAGTGGCGACGAGGGGGTGGGGGCGGCGCGCAGCGGCACGCGTGTCGTGCGTGAGGCCCTTGAGCGCCACGGCCAGGACGACGCCGGCCGCCCTCTTCGATGCCAGTGTGCATGCAGCACGTATAATGTCGCGCCTAATAAATCAGTCCGCGCTGGACGCGGCCTCCACGCTCTACAGCCTCCACGGCCGTGCCGAGTGCCGCGCGCCGCGGGCGTGTCGAGGCCATTTTGGGGCGTGCCTCGCGCAATTGCGCCATCGCTCGCAGCCGAGGGCCGCGAGGCCCTGGACCTGCCCTGCCGAGGACAGTGGCGCGCTCGTATCCCAGAAATGCACTGTCAGCGCAATCGGCACCCTCCCCCCTCTCTTATCGGTATTTTTGTTCAATTCATGTCTGCGAGGTGAGGCGGTGGGGCGAGGAGCGGGTCCAGGAAGGGGGCGTGGGGTTCATAACTGTCAGGCGGGCTGCAGGGGCGCCTCCAGGGCGGGGCGGGGCGGCCAGCGCTGTAATGAAGCCCCCGCCACCCCCTGTCCCTCACCTGGATCCATTGTGGCCGTCACAATGAGCCATGATGAGGCGAAACTGGCGCCTCTAACGCAGTCTAACGCAGGCCAGCAAGCGGCCCGTGACCTTTCCCTTCTCAATTCTTGTGCTGGCGTCCGACAGGGGAAGGCAACTCAGTGTGTGGCTACGTAAGTTGCGTTGCCTCCTTCATCGGCTGTGCAACTTGCATTCCGCTGTCCACTTTCTCTAACAAACTGACAAAATTTGTAGAAGTGTTTTGTATTTTTGGATGAAATGAATGGCACGATTGACAAGTAACATTCATAATTACTTTTTTATTTAAAACCTGTGGCTCTTAACATTTTGCTACAGTAATTGGTTTATATTTTTCTGATGAGGGGTTTAAAGACCTTTGGTTGTTGTGCATCAAGTGAGGAAGAGGGGAGAGGAGACAGGACCCAGAAGACAGTCGCGTGTGACGTCATTCCGTGCGAGCCGGTTCTGCAAGTTATGCAGACAGCGAGAGCTCGCAACCCACTTGGCCCAAATGGCAGTTAGGTTGCCTACCCGGCTGGCGTCAGCAGTAGAGCCCCTTCGCAGGCAACGATAACAGGAAATAGCATTTTCGGCCGATATTTTTAAAGATAGAGATCCAAGTTCCAATGAAACTAAATCGATGATGAAATAAAAGCAGAATCAGATTTAGTTTACTATTGTTTATTTGAAACATGTAGAAAAAGATTTTCCAATGAAGTTTCATCTGATGATCTCATCTCACGAATCATGTAGTCTGTAACATAAATGTCATGTGATAAATTTTTGGATGGGTTACATTTGTTTTGAAGCTTTCTTCTTTGTTACAAAAAAGATATATTACTTACCAACATTTTTACATTTTAAGAATGACTAAAAATTCTAAATGGCTGAATAGGGGGGAGGAGGCGGTGGTTTGTTTATCTGTTCCAAAGATAGTTGACCATCATTGTCACTGTCATTTAAAACCTTAGAGAATTTCAGGTAAAATTAATAATAGCACAGTATAATCCTGATTACTAATCAAAATTATAAAAGCGTAACTCACAAGCAAGACTTGAATTTCTTCATCACAAATTATTTCATGTACATGGTATAATTTCATTTTGCTCCAGGGGAACCCAATGATATAACAGCGAGACATTAAAATATCATTGCAAGAAATCAAAAGCACTAAAACAAGTATGGCTAAGCTGAAACATAAGAGACATCTGGTTGTGACACACGACTGGTTCTGGTTACCAGCTTTCTAAGCGTTAATCATACTGACCATAAATACCACACACCAGCAATAGTGCCACAACATTGACCAACACTCCCACAACAAGCGAGTAAAGCGTGCTGAGGTGTAGCCTTCAAAATTAGAAGTTTTTTTATTTTAGTTCACAAAGTGCAAAGAAAGCATGAAAAAAGTGTGTGCAGAGAGCTAAAAGGGAAAGTTTCCACACGCCATACTTTTTGCCTTTGCCCTTGAAGCATCTCACAACACGAACATCTACCTTTACAGGTAATTACAAACTTATTAAATAACACAAGGGCTCAGCTTTTTGTGTCATTATCCCTAGTCTTACCATAATTAATGATTCTAACTCTTCAAGAAAATCTGGAGGCGATTTGAAGTGCGTGCCATTTCGGGCAAGTCCCAGAAGATGATGAAAAATTAAGCAGGCCACAACATCGGCTTGCACAGAACAACATCGCAAAAAAGCGTAAAAAATTGAAAAGTGTCGTTGAAAATATCTGATTTTCAATAGTATGCAAACTTGGAAGGTTCAAAATGCGCGAAGAAATCGAGTGAAATACATTAAAACTGACGTATTGTTGGTCGCGGTTGGTAGAGTCTCTTTTTATGAGAAATCGCGTCAAAACCCCTTTCTACCCCTCACTCTCACCCCCGCACTACCCCGCTACCCCTCTCCTCTCCTCTCTCCTAGCCAGCGCCTTTTCCAGAGAGCGGGCAGTGGTCTCTTGTTTTTGTTGTGTCTAAGCGTGCAAGTGGAAAAACAGGCCATGGACCCTTAAAAGTTGCAAATTTTGGATCGTCTTTCACATCTCTAACCACAATGGTAATTTTTCCTGTGTTACTTGCTCGCTATTAACTCTTATTGTTCGATATTTTATCCTGTCAAACACTATTCCTAGTCGTGCCTCTACCGGTGGTGTTCAAAAGAATTGTAGTTTCTCTGTTAATTGCGCTTATTTATGTTATCATTTCTCAAAATTCATAATTATTTGAACCTTAAGCACAGTTAATTTATGTACTTATGTTCTGTTTCATTCTTTGTTTCTTCATTTCCTTCATAACTGCGTTTGAGTGGACGCCTAACCTAACATTTGGCATTGAAATTATGCTTGTTGATGTTTACCTGATGCTTATATGCGGTGTAACGTGCTGTGCTACTTTATCGATCCGTGTTTTCCAAATGTTTGTGTTTTATCAAAATTATAAATTTAGTTCAATAAGTGTAGGACTATGCTAAGGTTTTTTCATGGGCGTAGTTGATTCATTGGGAAAAATTTTACACGGAGACGAATGAGCAGACCTCTTTTGTATGAAATTAAATTCATCTCTCAGTCTTAACTTGCTTTTATTTATTAGTGTTTCTGTCATAAATGGATTGGTATGTTAGTAATGGATACTGTATCTGCGTATCCCATATGCTTGTTTTACTATTCAATGACACGACACCTTTATTCATGATACAGGCCAAAGCAAGTGTTAAATTTAACTGAGTCAATTGAATCAGTTGATTTCTGAAATGGCGCCGACTCCTGCACCATCAGGGTCAACAGACCCCCAGACCCAAATGAACACCTATCGGTCATTCGTCACCATGCTTGGTGATCCGAAAGCAAAAGAAGAAATCAAACTCAAAGCTGCACAGGAACTTAGTGAGAACTTTGAGGTGAGCTATCTCTCTGAATCTGTTTGGGGAGCGTATCTATACTACATGATCCTCTGACCTCATGAAAACACTGCTACGCATCGAAATCTTTGCATGTTTTTACGAAGTGTTACCACACACAAGTGTTTTCAGGACATCAAAGGGTTCACGTAGTATGGGTATGTTGCCTCATCTCTCTATTTGTCTCATTTGTGTATCATTTATTCACAATTAAAAAAAGTTTTGTTACCTTACCATTGTGATATTTTTTCTGCTTTAGGTTATTATTACTTCATCTCAATATCCAACATTTTTGGATCACACATTACCTATTTTTATTAAGATTCTTCAAGAAGGAGAACCACATTTTATTGCAGAGTACAATATACAGGTGAACAATAATCTACAATCAACTCAATGAAATAATTGAATGAAGGCAGTTTTTACCCTAAGTTGTGTTTGCCTATCTTGTATGAACTAAATAAATAACTTGTGTATTTTTCTTTTAGCAAATCCGAAAACTTTTGTTGGAAATGATTCATAGATTGCCTACAAGTGACCATCAAAGAGAACATTTACGACATCATCTTGACTCCATTATCAAGCTCATGTTGGATCTCATGAAAGTTGATAATGAAGAGAATGTCCTAGTGTGCTTACGTATTATCATAGAGCTGCACAAACAGTTTCGCCCTGCCTTCAATCCTGAGGTACCACATTGGTTTTTGTGAATTCTCTTCATTTGCGTATTAATTCTAACTCACATGAGAATTTTTTTTTTTTTTTTCAATTGTTTGGTTGTAGATTCAGAGATTCCTCTCATTCGTGAAAAACATCTACAAGCAACTTCCAAATCATTTAAACAAGATATTTGAAGCTCCTCGTCCCATGCGAGTCAAGGACATTAATGAAATAAATCTGAATAATCTCCTCTGTGAAACATTCACTGCTACTACAATTCAAAGTGAAAAGAAATCTCCTGATGGTTCTAGTGTATCTGTGAGTCCCCCACTCTTTCTCTTTAAGACTTTGCTTCGTCTTTCTTCCATATGTTTCTTTGAATTATTGTGTGTTGTTTTTTTTTTTTGTTTTGTTCTTTTGCAGTACAATTTAATACCAAAAGCTATTCTTTCATTAAAAGTTCTCCAAGAACTTCCAATCATTGTTGTGATAATGTATCAGCTATACAAACAAGCTGTTCATCAAGATGTAGCAGATTTTATTCCACTTATCATGCGAACCATCACTTTACAGCCCACTCCTCAAGTCAAGTAAGACACAACGTCTAAATTTGAAAAGATTTAAATACATTGCATGTTTCTCACATTTCGTTATATTTTCAGGGAGAGTAGCAATTTCAACAAAGAGGTTTTTGTTGATTTCATGGGAGCACAGATCAAGACATTGTCCTTCTTAGCATACATGGCCCGCATATATCAGACTGAGGTCACAAAAGAGGCTCCTTTGTTGGTGAAGGGAATGTTGGGTCTCCTCTCCCTGTGTCCAATGGAAGTAGCGTATCTCAGGAGGGATCTCCTCATTGCTGCTCGGCACATTCTTAATACTGACTTGCGCCTTGGTGAGTAGCTATTAATTTTGCAATTTCATTTTACATCAGTATTACAGAGTTAAATCAAACAATCATAAAATATTTATTTGGTATTACAGAGTTTGTACCAGTCATGGATAAACTATATGATGAAAATATCCTACTTGGCCGTGGATGGACAACTTATGAATCTCTCAGACCTCTGGCCAACAGTGTACTAGCTGATGTGGTCCACCATGTTCGTCAGCGCCTCTCTTTGGTTGATTTGGCTAAAGCTGTGCATATTTTCTCAATGAATGTGCATGATGAGACACTTCCTGTTTCGTAAGTTCACACTGTCTACTATACAGTGTCTTTAAATATGTTATGAGTCTTTAATTGGATTTTTTCCGCCTTATTAGCATTCAAACCATGTCCTGCAAGTTATTATTAAATTTGGTGGATTGCATTCGCCTTCGAGGTGATGCAGACAACCAAAGTGCCACATCACGTGAGCTTCTAATGAGGATGCTTGAAGTTTTTGTTTTAAAGTTCAAGACAATTGCCAAACAGCAGCTGCCTGTTCTAACACGCAATAATTCGTAAGGCCATTTTCCATTGTTGATTTGTTTCTGGATATGGGTAGATTGAATTCTTTAATTGAAATTGAACTGATTCTTTCAGTGCTGCCATCAAAGCCAATCCTCTTCAACAATCACAAGGCATGATAGGAATTGTTCAAAGTCAGGGCTTGCAGGCACCTGGCACACCAACCCGCCCTCCAGCCCCATCAACTCCAGGAACCCCAACACCTTCACCAGGAGTTGATGTGAAGCCAGTGGTCCATCCTCTGATCAACATACCAGATGGTAATTGCAAAGCCTGTTTACTATCTTGGCCTAATCTTTGCAGTCTTGAATTTTCTCACAACAATATTTTTTTCCAGTTGCAAGACCAATCATAAAGCCTGATCCAGAGAAAGACAAAACTAAATTTGGATTCCCTGCTTCTCAGGCTAACTCTTATACGGTTGCAGATTGTCGTAGTCTGGTAAAAACATTGGTTGGAGGAGTGAAAACAGTTACTTATGGTTGTGCAGTTCCTAGGGTGAGCTTGTGTGCACTTACTGGGCTTTAGTGGACTGTATGCAACCCATCAACATTTTGAATATTTTATTCTTTATCAGCAGGCTGGTGTGGCCCCAGATGCCACTACTCCACGACCTTTCTTACCATTCCAGCCCAAAGAGACTCTTCTTTTCATTCGACTGGTAAAGTGGGCATTGCAAGCACTTGATGTTTATACTTTGCCTCTAGCCCCTGGTATGGCTGCTGTCCCAGCCGGTGTGCAGCGTCCTATAAATGTACCAAATGTACGGACTAAGGAGGAGAAGGAAGTGCTGGAGCACTTTGCTGGAGTGGTCAGTTGACAGTTTATCTCATCTATGTAACACATTAATTTAAGTGATGAGTGAATTTGTTACATTAATGTCAATTTTTTTTTCTCATTGTGTGTTTTAGTTCTCCATGATGCATTCTCAAACGTTCCAAGAGATCTTCTCAAATACAATTGATTACATGGTTGATCGCATCTACAACAATTTTGCATTGCAAATTATAGGCAATTCATTTCTTGCTAATCCTAATACATCACCAATTTTTGCAACTGTTCTTGTTGAGTACTTACTACAACATATGGCAGAAATGGGCAGCACAGTTGAGAGATCAAGTCTCTATCTGCGTCTCTTCAAACTTGTTTTTGGTTCTGTTTCACTTTTCCCTCAGCAAAATGAACATATGTTGAAGCCCCATTTGCATCAAATTGTCAATAGGTATATATTATAATTGCTTGAGCCCAGATTGTTATCATTGTATACATGTAACCTTATACTGATTTACCTCAAATTTCAGGTCTATGGAACTAGCAATGACTGCCAAAGACCCCTACAATTATTTCCTTTTATTGAGAGCTCTATTTCGATCCATTGGAGGAGGCAGCCATGACTTGCTGTATCAAGAATTCCTTCCACTATTGCCAGATCTCCTTCAGGGTTTGAACTCCCTTCAGTCTTCACATCACAAGCAGCATATGAAAGACTTATTTGTTGAACTGTGCCTCACAGTTCCAGTACGACTTAGTTCGCTGCTGCCCTACCTTCCTAAGTTAATGGATCCACTAGTATCTGCCCTGAATGGTTCCCCAACACTTATCAGTCAGGTGAATTGATTTTTGAGTTCCTCTTAATTTCTGTCACGTCCTATATCCCAAAATTTCCTGAAATCTTATTATTTGTTTTTAGGGTTTGCGTACTTTGGAGCTTTGTGTGGATAATTTACAACCAGACTTTTTGTATGAACATATACAACCAGTAAGAGCTGATCTTATGCAAGCTCTTTGGAGGACTGTGCGCAACCCCACTGACAATGTTGCCAACGTCGCTTTTCGGTAAGAAAACAAACAAAAAACAACTACTCAAGATTCTTTTACATCATGAAATGAATTTCAATCAATTATTGTTTTGTGCCATTTGCCTTGCTTGTAACTTTCTATGAAATTTCAGAGTGTTGGGCAAATTTGGCGGTGGTAATCGGAAGATGATGACTGAGCCCCAGAAGCTGGAGTTCAGTACTCGGGATTCTCCAGGACCTGCCATTGTGGCCAGTTTTCCAGATTACAGCAAGCATATTGAGATTCCTGTAGAAAAGGTACTGAAAAGGCTTTTGGCTAACATATTTGGAGTGAAAATCTGTAACTAGGGACTAATTTTAATATCACTCTTTTCCTAAGGTCATTGAATCTGCATTAGCTGCTTTGAAGCACTCAAACACAGACTCATTTTACCGAAGATTGTCATGGGATGTCATACGCTGCTTTTTAGTTGCCAGTCTCCATTTAGATGATGATTTGCAATCAATGCTGACACTATTCTCTCATCCAGGGTCAGTATTTTTTCCTAGCATATTTTTATGAGCATTATCATGGTTTTGTAATTGTATTTGGAGAAATTTCTTAATTGACTTCTTCATTATCTTAGGTTCAAAGAGAAGCCCATTGTTACCAACCAAGGTCCACCGTATAAAATGGCTGATCAGCAAACAAGGCAGATTTATCAAACCGCTTTAACAGGTAATTTAATGTTAATGGTCCTGTTTGAAGAACTTTTATATGTGCTTTCATTTTGTAATTACTATAACTTTTTTTTTTTCACCCTCTAGGAATGTTTGTGGCTGCTGCTATCAAGGAACTTAGAAAGGATGTTTTACCAACGATGGTTTCTCTTGTGCGCCACTGCACTTTGGTGTCAATTGCTCAAACAGCTGGTAGGTTTTTTTCCCTCTCTAGTATTGTGAGATAGAAGTTCAGATTTTTTACATTTTTCTTGAAATAGGACCATCTGGTACTCCTGAAGGTACTCCTGGAGTCACAAACACAAGTGGATGGGGTAAAGAAGGAATGGATGCCATGGTACTCCTGGATGCCCTGGCTGTCATCATGGGCCATGAAGAGAAAGAACTGTGCAAACCTGGTCGTTTAGCCTTGGTTCTTATCTTACAGACAGCATTCAACATACTAGGATCTAAAGAAAGGGTGAGTCACTGTTTTGCACTTTGATATGCTGCAGGAAATCTTGCGTTTCAAGTGTGCAAATTTTAAATTTTCATACATGAATTTTCAGGCCTGCCGTCTTCCCATGATGGAATACTTAGCAGAACGCATGTGCTCTCTTTGCTATGATCGAGCTTGGTATGCCAAACTTGGTGGTTGCATTGCTATCAAGTTTCTGGTTGAGAGAATGGCACTTCGTTGGGTCTTTGAACATCTTTTCCAGTTCGTCAAAGCACAGCTGTTTGTCATGATGGATTTGACTGGAGAGGTAATTACTTTTTTGTTGTTGTTTCGTTTATTGAGATTTCCCGTTTTTTTTTACATTTATAATTTTTATTATTATTGTGTCTCTTTTTATGTGTAGGTTTCTACTGGAGCAATTGATATGGCTAAGTCCAATCTTGAAAAGATGTTGGCACAATGTGCAAAGCCTGTAGAGCCAGACGGAACGAATGAAGAATTAATAAATGCTCAAAGAAAAAGTGTTTTGGAAGTTACCTACGAACTTGTTCGTCAGGTTACGTGCCCAACAGACTCTTTGCGAGAAGAGGTATGCTTTTCAATCAACTTCCCTCTCCCCGTCCTTGCACTCTCTCCCAATAAAACATCAAAACCAACAACTCTTAATTATTAAGCTTGGTCACTTTTAAAATTTGTTTTAATTGTTTCACAGAGCATGACTTTGCTTAAGATATTAGCAGAAGCCCAAGGAAAATCTGTCGTTGAAGTTATGGATCCCCACAAAGAAGTGCTAGCTGACATGATTCCACCTAAGAAGCATCTTTTGCGTCATCAAGCAGCCAATGCCCAAGTGGGCCTTATGGAAGGAAATACTTTCTGCACCACTCTAAGCCCACGCTTATTCACGATAGACTTGAGCATTGTAGAGCACAAGGTAAAATGGTGTTTCTTGTAATTCTAACTTTTGTTGGTAAGATTTTTTACATTTACTAACTTTCTTCTGTTTTTTTTCCTTACAGGTTTTCTTTCATGAAGTCATGGCACTTTGTGAAGTTGAAGATGTTCAGCTTCAAAAGTGCCCTTGCTACAAAAATGTTAACAATCTTGCGCCACTTCGACGTGCTGCTCTACGTGCATTAGCAGCATGCCATTACATTGAGGAAAAAAGGGAGAAAATATTCAATGCTCTTTTCAAAGCCTTGGATTGGCCTCAACCTGAATTGCAAGATGCAGCTTTTCAATGCATGCAAAGCTTTGTTAAAGGATTCCAAGTTAACATGGAAATGGTATGCTTGATATCTTCATAAGAAATTAAAAAATCTTGTAAAACTTTGTAACTTAATCTAAAATTTTCTGTAGGTACATGATGTCATGCGCCCTCTTCTGATGTCCCTGAAAGATTCTAGACAACTGACTCTACGAGGCTTGCGTAAACTCCTGTATTTAGTGAAACTTTTCCCATCAAGCTTTAAGGAAACATTGACGGAGAAACTTCTTTTCCATCTTCACTCATTGTTTGAGACTTTAGCTGCTGGCAATCGAAGTGGGGAAGTAAAAGGTATTTGCATAAACATTTCTTCATATGTTGTATGTATGATAGAGTTGTACTGAGGGGTAGTGTCCTAATCTTGATTTATTTTCTCTTTTCAGCTTTGTCAAAAGATGGGGAAACAGAACAGAAGGCTATTACTATCATGGGTATCATTGAGTGTATTCCGACAAGTGAGGGTCCTCAATCTAGACTTGTTTCTCAGATTGTGAAACTTGTATTACACCTTGAGAAGCAAGTCAACATGGAGCCTGCCTCACCTTTCCGTGAGCCTCTCATGCAAGTTCTTTTACGATTTGCTAAAGTTGCAACTGATGTCTTTCTGAGTGATGACTTTATGAAGGTTAGTCCTGAACCATACCTTGAGTACCATACCTTTGCCTGACAACAAACTAATAAAAATTAAAACCATTCTGTTCTAGGATCGTCAGAGGAGTCGGTACTTGGAATATTTAATCAAACACCCTGAAGGCAAACCATTCCAACAGTATTTGCAAAATAACTCCCAGAGACTCCAAGAGCTCTGTCTGGGACGTTCTCAGGTATCAGTGCAGGCAGCTGTTGCTGGACAAGCTCCTACAGCAACTCTTTCAGCTTTAGATAAATCTGAACTGCGGTATCAAAGCATCAGGATAACTGCCTTATTGATGAAGCAAGATAACCAGTGGCTTGCCACTCAGCAAGCCCTGATTGACACCTACCAAAGAATTTGGTGCAGTGATGACTATTTGGTGAGTTTACAAGTCTCTTTGTGTTATGCTTTTGAATAAATTTATTGACGTATGTTTGACTCACTGCCTCCCATTTTAGAGCTAACCTAATTTATTCTGAGTTTTTACCAACAAATTTTACAAAACAATTGGGTCTAATTCAGTTTTAATATACCTTTTCAGGAAACACACAGGTCTATTGATGGAGTAGATGCCTTGCACTGGAAAGAGCCCAAACTCCTCTGCAAAATACTTTTACACTACTTTGGTCATCATCCAAATGACATCAGTCTGCTTTTCCATCTGCTACGGGCAACAACAGCTCGTTACCTACCCGACTTTCAGGTATTCATTAAGACTTTCTGTTAACTTCCGTTCTATCATAGCTTTAATATCTGTAATCATTGTTTTATTTTCTTCTCCAGTTTCTTCGAGATTTCCTTGAAAATACAGTTGCTCAAAGTTACACTGTGGATTGGAAGCGATCAGCATTCTTTAAATTTGTAGAGATATTCCCTCAACCAAATTTGTCTCCTGAACTCAAGAGTAAAATTCTTCAACTCATCCTCATTCCATGCTTTGCTGTTAGTTTTGATAGAGGAGAAGGTGACAAATTGGTGGGAAGTACTCCAACTCCTGAGCAAGACCACCCTGATAACATAGTCTCAGTCTTCATAACCAAGGTATGAAGTTCACTGATTTGATCACCACCATTTATCTTGAAGTGATTTCTGCCGTTTGTCATCACATAATTGTTTTTTTTTTTTTTTTTTTTTTAATCAGGTAATTGACCCTGAAAATGCAGCTAATTCCTCAGACTGTGTGAGAATATTGCTTCTCCAGTTGTCATGTTTACTGGTGGAACAAGCATCAGCTCATATTCATGATGCTGGGAACAAAAGACAAGGAGCCAGACTGCGTCGCCTCATGACATTTGCATGGCCTTGTCTTCTGGGCAAGAGTTGTGTTGACCCTGCCACTCGGTATCATGGTCACCTTCTCCTGTCCCACATTATAGCTCGTTTTGCTATTCACAAGCGAATTGTTCTGCAAGGTACTACTCACAAAATTGTCCTTGAACCTACACTGCAAACCGCACTAGAAAGCTAACCCTTTCTTTGTTCTTAGTTTTTCACAGTTTACTGAAAGCTCATGCAGTCGAAGCCAGATCAGTTGTTCGACAAGCCCTAGAAATCCTTACACCTGCTATGCCTGTTCGAATGGAGGATGGTAATACTATGCTTACCCATTGGACCAAGAAAATAATTGTTGAGGAGGGTCACTCTCTACAGCAACTTTATCATATACTTCAACTGGTTGTACGCCACTACAAGGTGTACTACCCTGTTCGCCATGCGTTAGTTCAGAACATGGGCGACTCAATTCAGAGACTTGGTCTCAATCCCACTGCAACTTTTGATCAGCGCAAGCTTGCTGTAGACTTGGCTGAAGTTATAATAAAATGGGAGTTGCAGAGAATAAAAGAGGAGGCTGAAGCTCAGGATCAGGTATGTCAAAACTTTCCAAGGGCTCCTGTTTGATGGAGAGAATTCAGCATCTCTTACATTCTTGTTCTAACTTTTCAGAATGTACTGGCTGGAGTTGTGAAACGACTGTCCACAGAAGATCCCAATGAAGCGAACCGCAAACGGCTAGCTTTGGGAAATGGCAGCACTCCCACAGCAGCTGTTCCAACTGGGGCAGAAGGAGCCAGTCCGGCTCAAAGTACGGCAGAGCCTGGCAGCACAAAGCCCATTGACAGGCAACATGCAGATGCTGTTATAAATTTCCTCCTCCGCTTGGCCTGCCAAGTCTGTTCTGTCAGTATCTCTCATGGCTACATATTGTTTCCAAAAAAATATCTTCTGCTTTAGCTTTTCTTTTACTGACATTGATTTCCGCTTGCAGCCCACGGAGTCGGCCGCCGCGGCCGCTGCGTCCGCTGCGGCGAACAGTGCGGCTGTGGGAGGCACCCCAGGAGAACAACTGTCAAGGCGATGTGTGAACCTCATCAAGGCTGCTCTCAAGCCAGACATGTGGCCCCACGAGTGTGACCTGAAACTTGGCTGGTTTGACAAAGTCTTGTGCACTCTGGAGAGTCCAAACCCTCATTTTGGAAACATATGCACTGCCTTGGAGCTTCTGACATTCTTGGTATCTGTCATGACTAAGCAACAAATTCTGAATGCTTTTAAATCTTTGTCCAAGGGCTTGTTCCTTTGCATCACCTCTACAAACACAAGTGTGAGTTTTTTTTCCCCGAGGGAATTAGGTTATATCTTATCTCCACTTCGCTCACATCTGAATTATTGTGCAGGTTATTCGTCTCATTCATGGTTTGCTGGTGCGGCTCATGAACATCTTCCCCACAGAACCAGCCACATCACATTCTGCCTCAAAATATGAAGAATTGGAGTTCCTTTACACAAATATTGAAAGGGTAACATTTTACTGCAACTTTACTTGTGTGGAAACATAGGAAACCTTCTTAAACTAATTTAATATCTTTCTGGGCTTTTTCAATTAGGTTGTTTTCGACGGTCTAGGTAACTATGAAAAGACCGGGGAGACTAGTCCTTTATTTGGCACATTGATGATCTTAAAAGCAGCATGTACCAACAACCCTGGATACATTGATCGTCTTCTTGCACCATTTTTCCGTGTCCTCCAAAAGGTGCAAAGAGAGCACCTCCATAATCAGCAACAAGCCAATGGTATGAACCAGCCCAGCCTCTACTGGTTGGAAAGGATTCTACAACATTGTCAATTTATCATTATTATTTATTAAATTTTTATAAATGTACATTGATTTTCCAGCAATGCTGAATGAGCTGTTGATTCTATGCTTGGACTTGATCAAGAATCGAGTCCACAAGATGATGGACATGCGAAAAGTTTTTGTTAATACCCTACTTGTTGGTCTTATTGAGCGAACAAATGATGCTAAAGTCATGAAAGCTATTTGCAAGGTTGGTTGTTTCTTGGCTCAGCTGTTATTTGAAATGCTTAATGCTTTTTCAAATCATTATTATTATTATTTCTTTTCTCTGTTTAGATGGTGGAAGATTGGATGAAATGTGGAGGAAAGTCAGCATTAGAGGCACCAAGTCCTAAAGAAACTTCTCTCCTGCTTGTTAAAATGATGGCCCATGTTGAAAAGCGATTCCCTGAAGACCGAGAACTGAATGCTCAATTCTTAGAGCTTGTTATTCAAGTTTATCGGTTGGTTCACTTCACTGTTAGGTTCTATTATTCTACTACTGTGTCATAATACTTGACTAATTCCTGTTCTGTTTCTTTTCTCATATTTTTTCAGTGATGAAAATCTTAAACATACTGACCTGACAACCAAACTTGAACCAGCATTCCTGGCGGGATTACGCTTCCCTGTGCCCAATGTTCGTGCCAAATTCTTTGAAGTTTTTGATCAGTCCATGCCCAAATTTTTGCATGAGCGTCTCCTCTACATTGTGTGCAGTCAGAACTGGGAGCACATGGGACCACATTACTGGATTAAACAGTGCCTGGAGCTCCTAACAACAACAGCTGTCTCTAGTAGGCATTCATTTTTGCATTAATGAACTGCCAATGTGCATAAACTTGAGTATTTTCCTAATAGCTATCTTTCTTCTTAGATGTTCGCATTCAGCTTGCCAATAAAAATCACCTGTTGCCTAGTCTTACGGGAGCTGCAGCGCTTGTTTCAGCTAGTGCATCTGGCACTGTTACCTTTGAAGGAGTTCCTTCAGTTCCAATCAAGCAGGAACAGCCAGATGTGTCTGAAGTTGGTTGTGATCAAGCAGTAAGAGATGTTAGTTGTATTTGATGTCCATGTTCTGAATTTATTTAAAGTATAATATCAGCTTTATTGTTTAATATATAATTTAATTTTTAGGAGGAATTGGATATGGAACTGCAAAGCAATGAAAGGGAGAGAAAAAATGATGCCCGAGTGCTGTTGCCTCAGCAAATGAAGTTCCTTATCAAGTCGAGAGAAATGACCACGGGTCAGTTCCTGTATGCAGCAGCTCAGTTATGTCACATGGATACTGCATTGGCCGAAAGCATGTGGTTGGATGTGTTTCCTCGACTTTGGTCAATACTCTCTGACCACCAGCGGGATGCACTTCGAACTGAAATTGTTCCATTTTTGGCAAGTGGAGCGCATGTTGTCCAGAAAGACTGTCAGCCTTCTGCACTGAACACCTTCACTGAAGCCCTGGCAAGGTGTAACCCTCCTGTGCAAATCAAACCGTACGTTTCTTTCTGTGTAACTTTCAATATTTACTGCCAATGGAAATAAGCTTTTGACATCTACTCTCCTTTTTTTGGCCAGGTCCGTCATGCTTTATTTGGGAAAATCCCATAATTTGTGGCATCGAATGGCCTTGTCTCTGGAACAGATGGCGATTGAGGCTGGTGCAAATGCTCAGCATAAACTGAAAAGAGATGCTGTTGACTGCTATGACTTTGAGCCAGATAACTCTCGTCAAGGGGTATGCGACAAGTGCTGCATTGCATCAGCTTTGAGATGATTATTTCTCTAACAGTATGTGTGAATTGTGTGAATTTTGTGTTTCAGGAGATAATTGATTCCTTAGCAAGTATGTACTCATCTCTCTGCGAAGAAGACATGTGGGCTGGACTCTGGCAAAAGCAAGCCAAGATTCGGGAAACAGCCACTGCTATAGCCTATGAACAGCAGGGTTTCTTTGAGCAAGCCCTTGGTGCCTATGAACTAGCCATGAATAAAATACGAATGGAGTACTGCTCTGCACCGATTCCCCCCAACATGAACTCTGAGGTTATGCTATGGGACAAGCATTGGACAAGATGTGCCAAAGAATTAAATCAGTGGGAAATGTTACTGGAGATTGGAACTTCCAAGATTAACCCAAATCCAATGCTTGTACTGGAGAGTGCGTGGAGGGTTCCTAAAATGCCACTGATGAAGGAAGCTCTCACACAAGTGGAGCAAAATTTCCCAAAAGAATATGCATGGAAGGTACAGTAAAATTGATTAATCTTGGATAGTTATTTATAGTGTTTCTTATTTTAAATGGTTTGTTATAATCTTTCTTTTTTATATACTGCAGGTTCATCTCTATCGTGGCTTTGTAGCCATCTTGCACCCTGAAGAAAAGAGATTAACTCAAGTAGACCGGTGTGTTGAGCTAGCCACCAATTGCTGCATGCGCGAATGGCGACGTCTTCCGCGCATTGTGTCGCACATTCATCTTCCACTACTTCAAGCTGCCCAACAAATCATGGAGCTACAAGAAGCAGGCTCAATTCATCAGGGCCTAAATGCTGCGCGAACTAACTCAGTCCATGATATGAAAGCCATAGTGAAAACTTGGCGCAATCGCTTGCCAGTTATTCAAGATGATCTAAGTCACTGGTCAGACATTCTCGTATGGCGCCAACATCATTACTCTATCATAGCAAATCACTACGATGCCCAAAATGAACAAACCTCAAATCACTCGATGCTTGGTGTACATGCATCTGCTCAGGCCATCATTCATTTTGGAAAGATTGGACGGAAACATAATCTAACTGGTGTCTGTCTGGATTCTTTATCCAGAATTTACACTATTCCAAGTGTGCCTATTGTAGATTGTTTCCAAAAAATCAGACAGCAGGTCAAATGCTATTTGCAAATGGCATCTGTGTCTGGCAAAACTGAACTTCAGGAAGGGCTGGAAGTCATAGAATCAACCAACTTGAAGTACTTCACAAAAGAAATGACAGCAGAGTTCTATGCTCTGAAGGGCATGCTACTGGCTCAAATTGGTCGATCGGATGAAGCAAACAGAGCGTTTTCTGCTGCTGTGCAGATGCATGATACATTAGTAAAAGCCTGGGCTCTCTGGGGTGACTATTTAGAAGCCATTTTCACTCGAGATCCCAAGCTTATTTCCATTGGTATTTCTGCTATCATTTGTTTCCTGCATGCTTGTCGTCATCAGAATGAGTCTAAATCAAGGAAATACCTAGCTAAGGTTAGTTGTGCCTTTCCCATTTTGTCTTTCATTTTTATTAAATTTACAAAAAACACTAACCATTTTTTTTGTTTATTTGCTTTGCAGGTTTTGTGGCTGTTGACTTATGATGATGAACAGTTCTCTTTAACATCAGCTGTAGACCAGTACTCTGTTGGAGTACCCCCAATCCAGTGGCTTCCATGGATTCCCCAACTCCTTACTTGCCTTGCTCGCAATGAAGGAAAGCAGATACTGAATCTTCTATGCCAGGTATTTACCCACAAATTTTGCCCAGCCTTCTTACCACTTCGACTTTGTACACATGTGTCATGGATTGATCTATTGTGTTTCAGGTTGGCAGGATGTTCCCCCAAGCAATTTACTTCCCCATTCGAACTCTGTACCTGTCGCTGAAGATTGAGCAGCGGGAGCGCTACAAGGCCCAGGCCCAGGCGCAGGCGCGCGAGGCAGAAGGTGCAGCGAATGCAGTGAATGCCGCCAATGCTGCAAATGCAGCCAATGCGGCCAATGCCAATCCAGCAGGCGCTGCAAATGCAGCCGGCGGCCCGCAGCCGCAAGCCGCGCAAGGACCCTCAGAAGCTGGTCCCATCAGGGCCACGCCGTCCATGTGGAGGTGCTCCAGAATCATGCACATGCAGAGGGACATTCATCCGACAATCCTTTCGTCCCTGGAAGGTGTTGTGGACCAAATGGTTTGGTTCCGAGAGAACTGGTACGAGGAAGTGCTCCGTCAGCTGAAGCAAGGGCTAGCAAAATGTTACACCATAGCTTTTGATGAACGTGCTAATGTCAGCAAGGCTAACATAACTCCACATACTGCTAATTTTATCCGCAAAATTGTATCTACCTTTGGTGTCGGCATTGAAAATATAAATAACAGCTCAGTGTCAGCGGCATTTAGCTCTGCAGCTTCAGAGAGTCTTGCAAGAAGGGCTCAGCTTACCATACAAGACCCAGTCTTTCAGCATATGAAGAGACAGTTCTCTGCTGATTTAGATTTTTCAGTTCCTGGTTCAATGAAATTACACAACCTGATTGCTAAATTGAAGAAGTGGATCAAGGTGCTGGAGGCCAAAGTGAAAACTCTACCAAAGTAAGTGACAAAGAAGTCTAGCTTTTAAATACATCCATTCATTAACAATTAGAAAGCAATTAACACTTACATTGTTTATTTCTTAACCAGGTCTTTCCTTATTGAGGAAAAGTGTCGCTTCTTAAGCAACTTTAGTTTGCAGACAGCAGAAATTGAACTCCCTGGGGAGTTCCTACTTCTGAAGGTATTACTAAGTCATTTCAGTAATGTCATCATTCAATTTCAACTGTTTCTGTTACTTTCACTAATGTTTGGTTTCTATGATTCTATTTATCTTGTAGCATCCCCATTACTATGTCCGAATCTCACGATTCATGCCTCGTGTTGAGATTGTGCAGAAACATAATTCTGCTGCAAGACGCATGTACATCCGAGGCCACAACGGCAAAATCTATCCTTATCTTGTAGTGAACGATTCTGGTCTGGGCGATGCCAGAAGGGAAGACCGTGTTTTGCAGGCTCTTCGGATGCTGAACCATTACCTTGGGAAGCAGAAGGTAATGTCATGATAATTCATGCTTCTTGTGTTAGTTTGACTGTTAGCGAAGCTTGACGTCTTTTTTATATTTTTGTGTCTTTTCTTTTTGTTTAGGAGACAGCACGGAGGTTCCTTTATTTCACTGTTCCTCGAGTTGTAGCTGTTTCACCTCAGATGAGGCTGGTGGAAGATAACCCTTCGTCAATATCCCTACTTGACATATTGAAGCAAGGATGTCAGAGTCTGGGTATTGAGCATGAAACTCCTATCGCTCGTTACTATGAAAGACTTGTGAACCTCCAGGCCCGTCAAGCACCTGTGAGTTATCTCTGTAAGAGTGGAATATTGAAGGTTAACCTTATAATCGGCTTATGTCTAATTTTTGTTTCCTTTCAGGTAAGCCATGGTGTTTTGAGAGAAGTTCTGAAAGAAGCACAGATATCAGTTCCTCGGACTCTAGTTCGTGATTGGGCCAGACGTACATTCCCTACTGCCACAGATTACTGGACATTCCGCAAAATGGTCGCGCTGCAGTTGGCTCTAAACTGTTTAGCCGAGTATGTGTTACATTTGACAAGGCTAAATCCTGACATGCTGTATGTGCACCAAGATTCTGGCTTCATCAATGTATCCTATTTCAAATTCGATCTCAATGAACAAGGTATGGAGTTGATTTTACGGTTTTTAAAGCGTGAATCTAAAGCAGCTTCTAACTTGTGCTGATTCTTTCAGGTGAACTCGATTCAAACCGCCCGGTTCCATTTAGACTCACTCCGAATCTCATGGAACTCCTTGGACCTGTGTGTGTGGCAGGCCCTCTGACAGCAAGTATGATAGCAACAGCTCGATGCCTTGCTCAACCTAGTTTCAAGGTTCAAACAATACTGCGTGCTGTCCTGAAGGACGAAATGATTGCTGGTCACAAGAAGGTACTTATGTTGTTTTGTTTAACTGTTTTGTTTCGTTTTATTTTTATTTTTCTGGAAAGATCTGGAAAGTTCTTAGAATGGAAATTTGAACATACAAGTCTCAAAATTGTTTTGTGTTGTTATTTCAGAAGGAGGATTCTGGAGCTGGTGATCTAGCAAATGCTGTAGCAACACTTGCTCAAACCCCTGCTGATGTTGGTGGTGAGGTTGTTATGGCACACGTTACTCGAGCTGTGGCAGCTATCAGTCAAAAGCTTAATAGTTTAGCCAATTTTGACGGTGTAGAAAGCAAGGTAAGCCCCCTCTAGAATTTAATTTACCCGGTAATTTGTTCACTTGATTGTTTTGTAACCCTCTCTAACTTTCCTCAACAGGTCAGCACTTTGGTTGCTGCTGCAAATAGCCATGACAATTTGTGTAGAATGGACCCTGCATGGCATCCCTGGCTGTAGACGTATTCACCACTCACTTTTTGTGGGTAACTTTGTGATAATATAATTGTTGTATTTTAAATGGTCAAGCTATAGTCAATTTGTTGTGCACCTGTACATATATGTGTATATGTAAATAGATTTCTGTATGAACTATACTATGTATGATGAAATATCAGCAGTATTTATGTAACAATGATTATTTTTAGATAGAGTTGGTATTGCCACTGTAGGACCAATATTTTTATGATCTTCTTTTAAAAATGACTGAAAATGAATTATCCCTAGAAGATATTTTTCCTGTGTGAATAATAGGTTTTAGGAATACTCTGGCACTTAAAAATTTGTGTGTAGTGTACAAACTCTTGCTTTGTGTAAAATGATCTAATCATGTATGTAAATTATCTCAAGTAATTTAAATAAATGATACTGGAAAGTACAAATACTTGCAGTGGTCTTGACTCAATATTTATTATTACACTCTGATCTTAAACTTTGTGTAGACCAATCACAATGAAACAAGATTTGTCTAGTGGGCAATCAGCAACACTATATTTTCTTAATAAAATACACAACTTGCTGTAAAAATAAAATGATAAATGAATAAAAAACGCAAAAGTGTTAAAGATTTTAAAAAATAAGTCATAAACTCCTAAATTCCCACAAAAGATAACTGTCTAACAATGGGCCTGGCGAGTGTGTGACCTTGTGCACTGCCATGATTTTCTAGAAACTCTCTTCACTCTGAGCTCTTTGACACCAAATAGTTGATGTTTCTTCCTTGATCCTTGTTCGAGGTTCGGGAAGGTAAGGGAGTAAAGTGAAATCGACTAACGTTTGTGGCCCCCTCCTGTACCTACTTTACGGTTTTCCAGTCAAAGAGGCAGAATCTAACTGGTTTCCACTCGCCTTGTCTCTCTTCTCCTTTCCCTTTGGTTGAAATTGACAGCGAAGGACAATGGGAAAGGAAAGGAGACACGCGGTGATCGTAAGTTGCCGACAAAACGGTGACAGTGTTATTTTGGCAGAGACTTGGCTTGGTGCCAAAAAAACTTTTCTGTCTCGAATAAATAACGAAAAAGTGAAAAAAAAAAAAGGAACCGGAAGTTGCTTTGTGTTTTCGAAGTTGTCAGTACTTGATGGTGGCATTGATGGGGAAGCTGCGACGCATCCCCATGCACTTCTCGCGGTCGATGAAGAGCGAGTTGACCTTGAGGCGGAGGTCGGACTCCAGGTTGCTCTGCGTGTACAGGAGCTGCTGGTGCTGCGCCTCGGCCTCCTCCAGCTTGCGGTGCAGCTGGTTCAGCGAGTGCTCCAAGTCGTGCACCTCGTGCACCAGCCTGGCGGCAAACATGACACATGACGCACTGCACGCTCCGCGCTCAGCGTCGAGCGGTTGGACGCAATGCAATGCAATGCTTACGCGTTGTAGGCGTCGTCCTTGCACAGCTCCACGGCGCGGCGGTGCGATCGGCCCTCCAGCCGGGTGTGCGCCACCTTGAGCGGCTTGCTCTTGTCCAGGATGGCCTTGCGCAGCATCTCGATGTTCTTCTCCTCGTCGAAGATCTCCTTCTGGACCTGGGGCAGCAAGGCGGCGGGGTTGTTTGTGTTAGTGGGCGAGAGGGGGGGCGGGGGGAGCCTCGCGGGTAGGCCGCGCGAGCGCTGACGTGTCGGCCGGGTGGCCTACCCTCGAGTCAGCGGGCGCTCGCGCGCGCGCATCGCAGTCGCGGATCAAGTCAAACCGAGGCACGCGCCAACGGTTTGCTTCCCACCGAATGGTTACCTTGTGCAGGTGCATCTGCAGCTTGCCCTTAGCCTCCAGCGTCTCCGCCACGCGTCGGCTGAACGAGTTGTTGGTGGAGCCCCACGCGTTCCAGATCTCGTTGGAGCAGGTGTTGATGAGGTTGTCGGCGTCGGCGCGCAGCTGGGCCGACTTGATACGCTCGTTCTGCGACCGCTGGCAGTTGCGGTTGCTGTTCTCCGCCCACGAGTCCGGCGAGGTCAACCTGCAACGGAACACCGACTTGCAGTGCAGGCCCTTTCCCCACCAGTGGGCTCGTTTCAAACAGTGTCGTGAGAGACAGAGCGATAAAGCACTGCCGCTTGACTCACGTGTTGTCGTATTTCTCGATGCCGCCGTAGTAGTTGATGCCGCGGGAGAAGTTGCTGAGCTGGTGCGCCACGTTGTCGATGCCCAGGGCGCTCTCCTTGCTCTTCACGTCCAGCTCCAGCTCCTGCTGCGCGGCGCGGTTGCAGCGCAGCTGGTCGCACACGCGCTGGTGCAGGTGCTTGAGGCGGCACTGGCAGGACCGCAGTTGCTCCACCTCGCTCAGCAGCGACTGCTCCACCTGTGCCACATCATGACGTCATCATGACCGCCCCAGTGTCAGGCCGGCAGATCAGCAGGCTGCCGTCGGCGTGTTCGCGGCGTCAAGTGCGGGTGCGAGAGAGACAGAGCGTGCGGCGTACCTGGTCGTGCACCAGGTCGATGCCCTGCCGGCCCTCGCGGTGGTACAGGTTCTCCTGCGCGATGTGCAGCGGCGGCTCGCAGTCCTGGATGGCCTTCTCGAGGGCGCGGCGCGTGTCCTGCAGGCGGCTCGTCTCGGCCAGCATGTTCTCCAGCTCGGTGGCCACCTCATTGCGCCAGAAGGTGGTGTCCGTGATGCGCTCGCCCAGGCGCCGGCCGGACTCGCGCTGCGCCACCGCCGTCTTCTCCTCCGTCTCCCTGGTGAACCATGGCGGTGGCAAGGACGCCGTCAGTGGAGCCTCGCGCCGCCGCCAGGCCCATTCCGAGCGACTGTTTCCGTCGCTACCTCTCTCACACACATGTGGCGTCGCTTATGGGTGCGAGAGAGACAGCGGCGGAAACGGCTGTCGGGATCCGTCTGCTGACCAGAGCGCGAAGTGCGCCACTCACTTCATGACGCGCATGGCCTCGCATCGCAGCCGCTCCGAGAAGTTGCGGTTGGTGTCGGCCTCGTTGTACTGGTTGAGGGAGGAGTTGGCCCACTCGAAGGGCGTGTAGCGCGTGTACAGCGCGGCCCTGGCGGCGTGCTGCGGGTTGCGCGCGTTCCCCGTCACCAGGTTGGGGAAGCGCAGCGGCTCCGTGGCCATCCCGCATGGCGTGTAGCACGGGTCCACCAGGGCGTTGGTCACCGGCAGGCTGGGCCTGGGAGGGCGAGGACAACCACGGCGTCAGCGTAAGGGCCTTTGCCTCACTTCCACACTGCATTGCGTCGCTCTGTCTCTCTCGCACTCACGGGGCGTTCCGCTGCGGAGTGAGAGAGACCGAGCGACGAAACACTGTACGGAATCCCTCTGCAGGTATGCCGGTCGCCGCGACGAAATGTCAGCCTCTGAACGGGCCTCGAAGTTGGTGTTGGTGTCAGTTTGTCGTGTGCGCGGCGCGGGTTCGAATGCCGATGACCCTGGGTTTGTTTTATGGCGCCCGGACTGACAGTCACGGCCACGTACATGGGGACCACCTCGACATTCTCGTATCCGAGGGTGGGCCTCCAGGGGTGGGGGCGCGGCGTCTGGTAGAAGGAGGCGATGCGGTCCGGGATGGGGGGCCCCACCACCTTCTCCATGCAGGGCGGCGCCTCGCACTGGCTCCATGGCTGGAGTTGCTGTCAGGCGTCGGCAGAGGACAGGGTCATGACAGGGTCATGGTTGCCCCGACTTGGGTGCTCGAGTCGAGCGTGTCTTGTTTTTCTGTTATTTGAATAAATTTTTCTCTTTACGAACTTGTGAGCGTTTTGGTGGTTATTGCACTCACCGAGTACATCACAGTCTCGGGTCCACGATGTACTGACGCCGTCATCTTGATGAGTTTATTTTTTTGTAAATTTAGTTTTGACTTGAAATTTTGTTAGTTTTTCCCTGCTGTGTTCCCGTTTTTCACTTCATTTTGCCCCCCACGCAACTGAGGAGGAGTTCGCGCCAAGAAAACATCCACTGCCATGGCAACGCTGAAGGTGTTGCTCCAAGTGTTTGAATATTTGCGGTGTTTTCACATCACCCCTTCGATTCCTCTAAACTTGGACAGGGTTTAGCTAGGTGTTTTTCCGAATTTCTGAACCGTCAACTGAGCCGGTTCTTGTCTTGTGACCGCGGACCGGCACGCGTCTTGCTTCGAACCGACGCAAATCTGGCGCCTCAGGCTAGCCAATGGTATCCGAACAAAAAGACTCCTCGGCGACTACAAAAGCTCGAAAAAGTAAACAATCAAGAGGAAATCCTCGTACAATTTCAATGGAGAGAAATTAAAAACATTTTATTCGCAACAATATCAAAATGGATGCACTTGCATCACCAACTTTAGTAGGTTGGTACGACTGCCACATGCGCTAGGCGCTTCGATTTGAGTTCATTCATTCCCATTCACTGAATGACTGACAGTGTTTTGCAATGGAGCAGCACCCAGCTGACGCCCCCGAGCGTAAGTTCGAAGAATAGGTATATTGGAGGAGAATGTTCATCGAGGCCTTGATCGACATCGGTTTGTTGTGTCGTTTTGCAGACTGCCCGGGAACGCAGAGCGAGACTGCGGGGAAAGTGTCTGCTTGCGCGGGCTGCCCTAACCAATCAATCTGTGCATCAGGCGCCGCCAGGGCCCCAGATCCGGGTACGTAGAGACTGTTTAACTTGTTGACCTTCAAACTGTGAATGCGCTCACTGGATGGGAGTGAATTAGTATCACAACATGTCCATGTAACGTGTCAGTTTGGCCGTCTTGTCATTTTACCAATCGTACACATAACCTCCCACCTGTTTGTCAAAAACATTGTGCAATAAGCAAAATGTCTTCTATATCACTGACACTCGGCTAGACTAAGCCAATAAAGTCAATTTATCTGACATGTTGAATCGGACTCTACCTTGGGTGTGATACAACAATACGTCAATACCAAACGTCCAATAATACAATCTAAATGTTTATTTTTTAGATAAAAAGCCAAATTTAAATCTTATATTGACATTATTTTGACTGTTTCAGGAGTGGGTTTAGTGCGCAATCGTCTGTCATCCGTTCGACACAAAATACTAGTTCTATCGGGTAAAGGCGGTGTTGGAAAGAGCACGTTCACGGCACTACTAACAAGAGCTCTAGCAGCTCTTGATATAGACCGCAATGTAAGTTGTCATGCATGAATGTTGAATGTTCTAGTGTCCTGATTGTAGTAAAGAGATAAATTACGAAACATATCCGTACCTGCATACCTGGGCTTTAACATCTTCATGGTAAGGAGAAAGCTGAAGCAAAGAAATAATTAGTTAAAACAACAAAGAATTCTATACACATTCAAAATGAAGACAATAGATGAAGTGAAAATGATGCGTGCAACCTTGTATGAAAGGCCTTGAAGTCCGCACATTTGTGTGGTATGACAAAGCTTTTCTGTTTCCATAATCTTACCATTTTAAAAGCTGCGTTACCAGCGTAGGATTGCACGTGTCTCTTTGAGTCTCATGAAAACGCCGCTATATTTTCTACTGCTAGTGCCTGGAAGGGCAAGCCAGAAAAGAGCATTTTCTTTAAAATTACCATGAACAAGATCTGCGCCTTTTAATGATCTCTCACTTAAGTAAGGTTTTCTCTTTTTTTGTTTTTAACTGTTTAACTTAAAATAATGGAGTTGGTAAAATCTGTCACAACATTTTATTTATTTAAGGTGAAAATTAGGAAACATTGACTGACAATGAGAAAATGCTCCCACAATTATTGTCTCTGTGCAGGAATATGTTCACCATAAGTTGAATGGTTCTCATACTTCCGAACCAAGAACTATTAATTTTACTGTTTTTAATGTGCATCAATGGTTTGCTTGTTGTGAATGATTGTTTAGCAGGTTTTTATTTGTGCGGGCGTGCTTCTCGCTAACCTACATAATGATTTAGCTCCACAGGAGTGAGAAAATGATGGAAAGACCAAGGCAAATTCAAGTCCCAACAATTGACCTTAGCTGTAGAAACTCATTTTCTAAGCCTCTTCGGCCCTTACTCCCCCTAGGCTGCTGCTGTCGTCGCCCTTCCATCCAAATTGAAATTTTCTAGAGCCATTCAGCCCTCATCGCCTTTTTGTGGTCTTTATGGTCTTTATGGGGGCAAACGTCGTCGCTCTCGGGCCTCATGTAATCGTGGCTGATTTCCCCTCCCCCTCCCCCTCCTCGTCCCCTCCCCGTCCCCGCCTTTGACTCGGCGTATCGGCTAAGCGCTCTGCATAGTCTGTGTCAGGAGGTGCTGTCCCCCTCGGGGCTCGGGGCTCGGGCCTCAGGGGGGTTGGGGGGTTGCGTCCCGGCTCACCAGGCTTGCCCAACACGCCCCCTTGGCGCCGTGGCTCCGCACCGCGCACCCTGGGGGCCGCTGGGGCCGCCCTCGCTTGCCAGACCAGGGGGCTTCCCTCGCAGCGTCTGCAGGCTGCCGGGGGACTTGGGTTCCCCATAGGCTCGCGCCTACTGCAAGGAGGTGTGCAGGAGGCCGCGGCGGCGCAGGACGGATCTCGGTCTCGGTTGATATTGATCAGACAGGAGGCATCGCGAAGCTAGACGCGAAGCGAAGCGCAATGAAAAAGCATTGGCGGTGCACTCGATCTGTGAAAGGCCCCCTCCCCTCCCCCTTTCCCTAGTGCCCGGTGCCCGTCTCACCCTCGCCCGGCCTGGCCCGGCCTGGGGTCAGCGCCCCCGTCCGCCCGGCCCGTCCCGCCCCTCCTCTCAGTCCAATCAATTTGAACTGCGGGACGTGCGGCCAGGGCAATGAGTCCGCCTCCGCACTGCAAGCGCTGCAAGCACTGCAGCCCCGCCTCGCCCCGCGGTGCTGCCGGCCAGGCAGTGCGACAAGGACAGCGCCACGTACTCACCGCTTTGGGGAACTTGACCTGTTGCGGCGGCGTCGGGTACCCGTCGTAGGACCGCAACCGCTTGGCGTAGTAGAGCGGCGTGAGCTGCGGGCAGAGAGGGGCGCGTCGTCACCACGGACTCGGCGAACACGGAGGAGACTGCAGCGGCGCGGCCACTCACCACCAGGTCTTCGGGCCTGCTCGCCAGGATGCCGTCTTAGGGTGCCGATGGAGCGGCACCGAGGGGGCGGTCGTCGGGGACGCTCGTCGAGGACGCCGCCGTCGCTCGCCGTGGGGCTGCGCGTAGCTGCGCGCTGTGCCCTCTGGGGCCCCTCTGGGGCTGCGCGCGGGGCGTGCCGGTGCCTGCAGTGCCTCCGCCAGCAGCAGCAGTCGAGTCGAAACAAACCGAGCCGCTTCGCCTCGCTTGCCTCGCTTCGGGGGCGTCGCGACGCGCCTGCCGAGCATCCGGAAGGGTGCAACGGTGGGGTGGTGGCCCCGGTGGCCCCGGTGGGCTGGGCGAACACGGCCGGGCCTTGCCAGCCTTGCCGACGGGGGCGCGCACCGCGCACGACGTCCGCCTGGCACCACTCAGCCCCTGCCCTGCCTTGCCCTGCCCTGCGAGACCCCTGTCGAGACCCTGTGCCCCGGTCGTGCCCTGACCCACATCCACATCCGCGTGGGCCCCGTGGGCCGCGGAGCGGAGCATGATGAAGCGAGACTGGATTGATAGTGAGGGCTGGAAAAGTTGGCCAAAACTCTGAGACACATGTTCGCTTTCGCCGCTCATTTCGCCCTCCTGGACTTCCCTCGTCCCACGGCACGCTCCCTTTCTCGCTGGTCGGGAACCTGCCGCTCCTGCTGCCCATGCGTGTGCCCAAAGTACCCACACACACAGACACCGCGGAGCGCGGCGTGCGTGCGTGTGTGTGTTTCGTGACATGTGCACATCCTCGTCGATCCCTGACTCCGCGGCCTCCGCGGCCGCCCCTCTTGCCCCACATCGGCCGAGAGCAGTGTGTCTGCCTGCAGTCCCGGGGTGGCGTTTCCGCTTTTCCAACTGCAGCCGCGGTGGTGTGATGTTGCAGGTCGGCGTGCTGGACATCGACGTGTGCGGGCCGTCGCAGCCCCGGGTCATGGGCGTGGCGGGCGAACAGGTCCACATGAGCGGCTCCGGCTGGTCGCCCGTGGTGAGTGTGCAGTGTGCATCGCGCGTCGAGGATGGCGTGCTCCGGGCGGTGGCCTTGAGTTGGGCGGAGACGTCGCAGACAGCTAATGGGTTCGATTTTCGTTTCAGTACGTGGACGAGAACATCGCAGTCATGTCCATAGGCTTCCTCCTGAAAGGCCCTGAAGAAGCTGTTATCTGGAGAGGTCCCAAGAAAAACCGTACGTCAAAAGACAAAATCTGTTGTTTCTGAAAATTTTTCTTTTGTTTCAAAAAATTAATGCTGTGATTTTTTTTTTTTAAGAAATGATCCGCCAGTTCCTGAGCGACGTGGACTGGGGTGAACTGGAGTACCTCATCATCGACACCCCTCCGGGTACATCGGACGAGCACCTGTCCGCCGCCACGTACCTGCAAGGCGCAGACCTGGACGGTGAGGAGAGGCATGCCTGAAGAGCCTCAGAGGGCCGAAGCGGCATCTGTCACGATATCTCCCGATGGAGCTTTTCCGAATCTAACTCCCCTCCCCTTGCTGTTGCTTTCCAGGAGCCATCATTATAACTACCCCTCAGGAGGTTGCCCTGCTAGACGTAAGAAAGGAAATAGATTTCTGCAAAAAGATGAAGATTCCCATTTTGGGTATTGTTGAGAATATGACTGCTTTTGTATGCCCGAAGTGCCATGTAAGTCCCTGCATTTTTTCTTCAATTTGATGATTTTATGTTTGCCTCTGTATGCTGGGTAGCTAATGTTGGTGTTATGGCTCCACAGACCCCTTCCAATATTTTCCCACCAAACACTGGTGGTGCAGCGAAAATGGCAGAGGAGAAATCCTTGCGGCTATTAGGGCGTTTGCCGCTTGATCCGAGAGTTGCAAGAAGCTGTGATGAGGGTGTCAATGCACTCACGGAGTTCCCTGACTCCCCAGTGGTTGCCGCCATGCACAGCATAGTTAAAGGTAAAAATATTTTTCTGGCATGATGTTGAGTTAAAAGGAATTACTGTGCCTTACAGTTCTCTCAATTTCAGATTTGCAAGCTATACTCAGACCTGCCATTAATACCGGTGGCTCAGAGAGTATGGACACATCGTGATCACTGCTGTTGAATGAATTTCTTCCAATTTTTAAACAATTCTTTTTATGTTGAGGGTCTTTCTAGTTTTCAACCTAAATATAATGTTAAAGAGAACGTTACCAATTATTTTTTCTTGTTCTTTTCTCTTTTCCTGCATTTTACATAGTGGGGTGGAAAAGGAGGATTGACCACATACAGCACTTGATTTTCTTCTCTTTAATAAGAACAACTTGACACAGTAACTTGTGCACACAAACACAAAAGAAACATCTTACACAGAAGATGTTGATTTACAGAAAGAAAGAAAGAAAAAGGTTGCAGCTCTTCATGATTTAGAATATAAAATGGCTCTATTGTTAAAGTTAAATTGATAGCAAAGCTCCAACTTTGACAATATGTTACAAATACATCACAGACAGAAATGATGTTGAATAAGAGCACCATGATCTCTTGTTCATCTCTCAACATTCTTAAAATACACCTCAATATCAGCAAAAAGTACAAGAGAATAAGGACAAATTCAAATAGCACTTAAAATTGGAATTATTACATACAAGTCCTATTGTTGCTACAAAATTTCAAGTAATAAAGATTAGTGATAATTGTTTCCTGACACTGCAATATTTGCAATTATCTCACTAAGTTTCAAATGCAGTTGGGCAAAATATAAACAAACTAATTCCAGAGGCAAAATAAAATTACACACAAATAAAATTTCCTGTCATGAGTCCATGGATGCAAACTACACTCTGGAATTTATGTTAACACACAATGAACCTCGACATCACTAAATGTCAAAATTTATATTGTACATATATCACATTTATCTACTTCTTAGCTGAATGTTTGCAGAATATGGACAGAGAGATCACCAGAAACCAAGGAAATGATATTATGAATAATACGTATGTATCTAGAAAAATTAAAACAAAACAAGTTTATCTTGCTTGTTCAACAATCAAATTTGTAAAGGCTTCTGAGCAAGTACAATACTGGAATATTAAACTTGGTTCACAATGACCCCCTGCACCTTGTGCTTCAAACTACAGCCCATTGCAATATGGCTGTGTCCTTCCCACCAGTTGAAATCAGGCGAGAATCATCGTGCAAGAATGTCACTGCAGTTACATGGCTGCTGTGTCCACCATAGCTATGGCATAAAGACTGAAAAAGGTTTTAAAAGGTATCAAATAAGTAAATTTGTCACTAAAACACTCATGAGAAGGTAACTAAAATCTTGCTTCAACTTACCCTTGGTTGGGTGACTGGATACGTGTACAGCTTCACTTTACCAAAGTCATCTGCAGTCGCAAGAAGCTTCTTGTTGTTAGCCCGATCACAAAAATTGACATCTGTGCCATCAGCACCTTCTGGCCATATACCAATAGTTTCAAAAGACAATGTGCAGCTGTTAGACGCCCACTCCACATCTCTCATTGAGGAACTTTGAGGAACTTGCCTGCACAGACCAGCATTCCCTGTGGAGGTAGGACATATTAATATTATTTTAAAATGTCTGAAGGGAAAAACAGCAGGTTTTAAATTAATCACATAAGTACTTACAGTAGAGGACCTCATAATCTCCAGAATTACTCCGGAGTAACTGACTGTCAGCAGACCAATCCAAGTGAGTTATGAAACTGGAGTGACCCTGGTTTCAAAAAAGGGGGCAACGGATATTAAAATATGAACTTATTGAAATCGTCAGAAGGTTTGAAGGTAAACACTAAATCTACGGGGTAACTAAATGGAATTGTTAACACACAAACCCACCAAAAAACTTGTAAGAGAGCTACTTCTCTTTCGTTTTCTTTCCGTCTAATGCAGCATGAAAAATGAACATCTCCTCAAAATAATATCCATCTCAGAATATTCTATTCTTTAAATTGAAAACAAAGACTACTTTCTCTGGGCAGAAAACTTACCATGCAACGACCAACCCTGTTGTATTTTCTTGTGTCCCCACCACATTGATAAATGTACACATTATTGTCCCTGGATCCCAAAGCTAAGAATTGGCCATTTGGAGAAAACTTAATGACCTGCAATCATAACAATCGACATTAGAAACATCTTATATGATAAAGAAGTGTGTGACAGTAGTGCACCTAAAAATTTCCAAACCTTACCTGGATAGGTTCTGCTCCATCAGCATGAGTTGTAAATATTTCCCGGGTTTGTGAATCAAGAGCAAACCAATGACCAGTTACGCAGCCAACGATAATAATACTGCCATCAGGAGAAATAGCAGCAGACTGGGCTGCCTCCTACAAGGAGAATTTTTAAAAAAAGGAATGTTAATAAGAACAATTAAAATAATAGAATTATAGTTGAGAAGCTGTCACCTATTTTAACTTACAGAAAGGTCCTTGCTCCAAATTAATGAGTGAGACATAGAATCCCACAAGTTTAATGACTTATCATAGCCTGCAGTAACAAATTGAGGAAGGCTTGGATGTACGGCAAGGCCCCACAGTTCATCCAAGTGGCCGGTGAGGGCAGTGCTGAGACCCATCGATAAGGATCCCACCAAAACACAATTTCTTGTAGTTCCAACAAGGAGCTGTGACCCACGCCCCTCTGATATTACTCGGATTCCCCCGGCATGATCTGGTACCTGCACGTCAGACAAGACAAAATTCTCTCAAAATCTTGGAAATTTTTTCAAACTGTTACCGTGTGCGCATCCAATCTATAAATCCTTACCTGTCGTTCCAGACCAGAGGCATTAAGCTGAGAGTCTAGCTGCACAATTCGCCGATCTTTTCCTCCTCCAGAGACAATAGAGCCTTCTTTGAGAGCACAAACTGAGAACACAGGGCCATCATGGACACCGCGCACAAGTTTTGACACAGTGTTTGTCCCTGTTAATGAATCAGATAGCTGTGATTAGGAAGGAAAACTATAAAAATCTCTGATAGGAGGTGAACAAGTTCGCTGATATTACCTCGAGCCCAAATGATAAGGCTTCCATTTGAGTCGCCAGTAATGACGTCACCCAAATGGTTGAATGCAACACATGTAACATACTTTGGCTTGTCTCTATTCTCAAATATTCCCATGCGCTTGTACAAAGTGCCACCAGCATCTAGAGTCCAGAAACTGATGTGAGATTTTCCACATGTTACTATGCAGTTTCGTTCTAGAGGGTGGAATTCTGCAGCAATCACTGTATCAACTGAGCACTGCAAAATAAATATAGAAATTAAAGTCACTGATTTTAATTTTATTAAAGATGGCAAAATAGTTTTTTTGACTTCTTACCTTTGTCTCAGTAATTCTCTGGCCTCGCTCTCCTTTCTGCCAATCCCAAACTGAAATATTGTGATCATTTGCCTCATCCACTGCACACAGTAGTTGTCCACCATCCTGAGGCATAAGAGGTCAAATTATAATGATCAAGAGAAAACTTAAATGCATTACAGAGGTCGATTGATTTGAAACACTTACAGCTTTAGAGAAAGAAATACAGCATATTGATCTTTCGAAGTCCCCAGCTCCAAGTATGGCAACAGTATTCAAAGTCACTGAGTCCCAGATTCGAATATGAGGCTACAGGAAAATAAAAATTCTTCACACTTTTGCCAGAAAAGGGAAACACACACTGATTGACAAATACTCTAATACACAGCAAACATGCAAATCACACGGTTTAATTAAATCAACTGGAGTAACACAAACTAACTAGACACAAACATTTCACAGAAGTCTATAAAACCAGTGTCCTCGAGGGAACCACAGTTTGTCATGCAATTATAAATTTTAAAAATTGAAAATGACACACATAATTTTGTCATGCAGTTGAGTTTTATGATTAACCAAAGAAGACTCAGACTACTGATTTAATGAGAAAGCACAATATGGTATATAAAAATTTTGAACCATGGCTTTTTTTAAAAAATATGTTTGCATGTAATTACCGATAAGGTCCTTGTCTAAATTTGCATGTAAAAGAACAAAAAATAGAAAAAAAATGAAGAAATGCTTTTTGGCTGCTCCTTATCTTAGTACATTTGTCAATCTTTATAATAATAAATGAACAGTAATGGCAAAAGTTTCAAAAGGGTAGCTGTAGTGAAAGCTAAAATTAAAGCAACACTTACTCGTGACTCTCTCCTATCATGTCCAGCACATTGTCCTGTAGCCACAAGTAATTTGTTGGGATGAATGGCAATACTGTAATAGAGGTATAAATTATGTTAAAACAAAGGGGAAAACAAGGATTAAAAAATCTGAGAGCTGGTACGTACCACTTAATATCATCTGTGTGTCCTAAGTAGTGTCTCTGACTCTGTTCCTCAACATTGTAAAGAACTACTACTGCGGCAACAAAGTAAACCATCTCTCCAGTTGGCAGAAGGTAAAGATTTGATCGACAGTCTCTGCCTCTGTAGCCATAAACCCAATCAAGCTTCAATTTTGATTGAGGAGGAGTGGTAACTTTGGTGATATCATAGGTTTCAGCTAGAGATGATGGAGCATAGAGGATAATTGGTCGGCCTCTTAGAAACATTCTCAAAATTTTCTCTTCTTCATTGTAAGTTGCATCACGAGTGCTGAAACACCAAAAATAGAACCGCAATGAAATATCTTTAAGAAAATAATACAAGAAATTGTTATGAAAGACTTAAAAGACTGATGGAAAAAATTATTCATAGGACACAGAAATGAATGAACAAACGACAAAAACAAAGAACAACGCACTCGGACCACTGAGCATTTCCAACCACTTACATACAGCTCAAGATGCATTAATCTAACAGATAATAACAGATAACTCGAATTGACTAGAATGAATGTGCTTACGGCCCCATGCTGGCAGATCCCCAACCCAAAAAAGGCAGAAAGGGCGCCGATGGCAAACTCGGGGATGCGGTAGGACAACGCGGCGCCCAGCTTCGCACTTCGCGCGGTCGAGCTCAGCCGCTGCGGCGGACGGACTGCGGACTGGGCCGAGTGGCCGAGCACTGGGCGTTCGAGTCTCCGGTCGCTGCGATGAGCGATTCGAGTGGAGAACGGCGAGGCGCGACGCGACGACACGCGGCGCGGCCCCCGGCTTGCGGTTGACTGGGAGAGACGAGACGGTGGGCAATGGGGCCTTCCGCTGGGACCGTGGCGCGTGGCGTGGCGTAGCCTGTGGCGGCTGGCTTCGGGGCCTTGGGCCTGGGCTCGGCCCCACCCAGCCCCTTCACGGCCTAACCCACAGGCCCAGGCCCTCGGCCAAGCTTCGGCTTCTCGGCATGCAGTCTGCTCAGCTAAATGCGACTAAATGCACGTGTTTTTGGGGCCAGTCCCGCTAGCGCCTAGCCTGCCTGCACCGTCTGTACACTGTACAGGCGCGGACGGCACGAAGGAGCAAGGAGCCGCCCGGGCTGGACGGCTGGACAGGCTCGAGATTGCTGTGACGGCGGCACGCGGCACGCAGCTACTCCCATCCCAAGGACACTGCAATTCCATTGTCCGACCGTCTCATAATTGGCGACTCTTACATCAAAACTTGGACGGAAAAACGCGAGGGAGGACGGGGCATGCAATGCAGACGAGCGGGTGAGGGGAGGGACTTCCCTCGGCGCGCCTCGCCCAACTTCGCCCTGCAAGCTGATCGCTGTCTCTCTCGCACCTCTCCGGGACGCGCCACGAGTGCGAGAGAGACAGGGCGGCCCTGCCGAGGACCCTGCAGCTAGAATATCGGACTAACGGGCGCCGACTGGTGGAGTGGTTTCCACGGCAGGTCGCTCCGCGCTCCGCAAATCCCCCATTTTAATAAGGAGCCCGTGGCGCAGAACAGAAGGCCCCGCAGTCTGTCTCTCTCACACTTACACGGACATCCCAAGAGTGCGAGAGAGAGAGAGAGAGAGAGAGAGAGAGAGCGAAGGGCCTGCCGCGGAATCAGTCTGCTGGTAACGGCCGACGTGCCTCGGTGCACCCGGAGTAGAGCCCCTCGACGGCCGGCCGGGGCAGCCCGCCGGACCAGACCACGCCGGCTTCCAAGCGACTGTGAAGAAGCGTTTCGGCACTCTGTCCCTCTCGCACCCCTACGCGACCTTCGGGACGCCCCGTGAGTACGACACAGATAGACAAAACGGGGAACGACTCTCCGGAAGCAGCTTGGCGCAGTAGAGCCGCGGGGCCGCAGCCGTCAGGCCGTCCATCAGACTGCGGTCGGGTAGCCGTCCCGTCCCGACGGAGTAGCTGGAGGCTGGCCTGGCATAGGCTGGCCTGGCCTAGCCTGGCCGGCCCAGAAAAGCAGCGCGAGATTGCAGCCAAAGCAGGCGGTAATCCCTTTCGCCCACACTGCCCGCTCGCCTGCCGACGCCCCCTCACTGGATGATCGCCGCGCTCACGACACTTTCCATATTTTGAACGAAAAGTGGCCGAGCGCAGCGCGGCACGGCGGCACGGGCGCGGCGTCCCTATTATATCGGCTCCCGTTTCCTGTCGAGTCCGTGACCCTTCCCCCCTCTTCCTCCCGCAGAGCCATTGCGCCCCGTCTCTCTCGCACCCCTGGGGGACGCCCCTTGAGTGCGAGTGAGACACAGCGACGCCGAGCCACTGTTCGGAAACAGCCTGCTGGCGCAGCACCGTGCCCGTGGAATATCAAGCAGGGCTAACCAATGAAGACGCGAGATACGCTGGCTGCTGTGGACACTGTGGACAGCAAACAACACGCTGCCGCGGCAGGTGGGAAGCGAAGCGGGCCTACAGACTGCCGTGCCGAGGCCCTGGTCTTCCCTCTTCCCTCGCGCTCCCCCCTTTTCCCCAAAAGCCTGAAAAAATACCCCCTTTAATTTGGGGGCAAAGGGGGTTCGTCCCGGGGAATTTTTAAAAATTTTTTTTGGGGCCCCTTTTGGCGCCGGCCCAAAAAATTTTTTTTGGGGGCAATGGGAAAAAACGGGGGGAAAAGGGGAGTTCCGGGGAAGAAATCCGTGTGGGGTCAGCAAGATCCATGCCAACAGTCAAATGCCCCCCCCTTCCTTGCCCCAAAAGGGCCCAGTAACAGCCTAGCCCCCCTCCCCTTCTAACCCTGAAAAGGTGGTTGGGTTCGATAAAAAAAAAAAAACTAAAAAGAATCTTTTTAAAAGGGCGGCCTTCATTATTGATCCATGAAGGAGCTTGTAAGATACGAAATTTTTAAACAAAAGAATAGAAAACGCGTAATAATCGAAAAAATATTTTTATAAAAATTTTCCCCATCCCTCGGTGGCTCGCTCAGTGGTCTCCAAGTGCCGTGCCTCCGTGACTCTACAAGCGATGACCTACCCGTGTTTCAACATGTTGTGAGGAGACTGCACCCGCACGTTGAGGTTCAACAAAGATTTCGTGGCAAGTCTACAAACAAACAGAACACAATGCAGCGTGCAAGGTAGTACCGCTAAGGCATGCAGCAGCCGGGCAACCGGCTCAAACTAGATGCTAATTAGAAGGGAGGTGCCGCATTTCGTCCAGAAGTCCGCCCGCGCCTGGTTGGTACTGCGAGCGTGCCTTCCAGGCAGCTTATCGACAGCAAGGCCCAGCAAGCCCAAGTGAACGGGAAAATTGGCAACCCTTTCGGTTACTGTGCATCGTGGGAGTTTTTGCCTGCGAATGTGGCAACACTGGCCGGGTAGGCAGGCGCGGGCCGCCGCGCCGCAATACACACACGTGCAATGGGCTGCCTACCCACCCGGCGCAGAGAGCGCGACCAACACAGGGCGCTCCTTCTGGATGAAATGTGGCGACCCGCATGCGACTTTAGTAAAGTAATGATGGCATAAAAACAAAAAAAATGAAAAACGAAAAACAACAGGCAAACGTATTTACAAAATAAAACAGCTTTTCCCAAAATTTCTAAATTGGAGACTGCCCTACTGGTAGCCAGTACTTTCAGTCTACTAGTTCAAAAATTAATCTTCATCAAGACAACAAATAATGACACCATTCATTACTCAGAAAAAAAATCCCCAACATTCCAAACAAAAACAAATGCCCTAGTTCAAAAATGGCCAAAGAAAATCACATTCTTACAGCAAGCAAGCCTTAAACTCCTCATACCTTGAGTTCATAGAGCCACCATTGTGAGGGGAGTTGTTAAAATCTCCAGTTGAACTCCACCGCTTTGCAAAATGAAGATTAGAATTTGTTGACCGAGTTGGTGTGGGTGGTTGAGACTGCCTGGGAGATGGCGATACTCTTGGTGGAGGTGTATGGGTTGGTGATGGTGAGGTAGGAACTGGAGAAACACTATTGCTGCTCGGGGAGTCTGAATGCAGGGATCCAGTTGATTGATAATGCACTCCGCGCCTGAAATTAGATAGTCCACATGTTACAAAATGTACGCTTCCTTGTAACATGCACAAATAAATAGGTTACTCACCTTTGTGGCAAAGCTGTGGGAACATTACTACGGTGGGCAATTTCCTTAATGGAATTATTACTCTCGACACTAGATTGGTGGTACATTGGCTGTCTTAGCCGAGATCCTCCCAACGGACCATCTTTTAATTGTGAAATGTGATTATTGAGTGCTCCTAGAACAGAGGTGCCTGGTTTAATGCTTTCTAAATTAATAAAACTCACTTGAATGAAAATTTTTAAAAATTACCTCTAAATCCACCATTTCTGACTGGAGTAACAGTTCCAGTTGAAGATGGAGACAAGCCTCCTCTTGAATTGACAGCATTTTCCAATAGGGTCAATCGTCGCAGGACATCTGCCAGGGTCGACCGTAGACAAACAATCTCATCACCTTGATCTAAGGCTTTCTTCTCCAGGTCGGAAACACGCTCCCGAAGAGATTCATTCTCTGTTTCAATCATGTCATCTGCAAAAAATCAAAAAGAGAAAAGAACTTAGTTACGCATCTACAAGACATGGGTCAAGAGAGACAAGAGACATTTCATCTCCACTATGTCTTCCTTAGCAGAAAGTGACATGACACACAGACAAACGAGAGGTATCGAACGGACACAATGATTGCACTCAAAGTACCGAATAAACATGACAACTAGTATTATTCAAAATAAAAGGTAGTGAAACAAATGAGAAAGTAGGGTTAAACACATCTATAGTGCACTGCTACTGGGCGTGTGACTTCGTTACGACTAAATGCTTTTAAACGACAACTAAAACGAGTCTCACTGTACTGAAGGGAGAGGTCTGCCATGGAGTAAGCCGCCCAAAACTCGAGAAAAACGGCAACTTTATATGTTTATGAGAGACGGCGGGCAACAGGTGAACGGTATGTAAACATGCAGACGGACAATCGAACCTGCGGTCGAGACTCGAACCTCGAACCACGGTGGCACGATCGCATCGGCGGGAAAAATACGAACACTGTCGCGAGGCTGACGTTCCAAGCTCCTCAGCAGCAAATGGGAGTGAGAGAGAAGTACTCGACGTGGTGCACCACTATCGCATCGCCTTGGCTTCTCCGGTTCGGTCGGCAACCTGGCCGGGTCAACGTCCCGAGCTGCTCCAGTATTCGGGGGCGGGTGCCATGCCACGCCGTGCCATGCCAGGCCAGCCAGGCGTGCAGCCAGTGCACTTCCCTCGGCACTTCCGGGATCGATTAGGCAAGGCAGCCCAGCCGTTTGGGAGGCCAACTAGTTGGTGGACATGCAACTGGAGTTGCCTTGCGCGCCCCAACCCCAACCCAAAGCCGCGACCTGATCCAGGTACTCCACTGGGTACTCCTCGCCGAGGACTCTACGACGTCGGGGCCTTATCTCTGACTCGATCCAGGGAAGTCTTCGAGCTCCGTCGTCCTTGGAGTCTTTTCATTTATCTCTCTCCTCCTTGTTTCTTCCAAGAAGAGCAAAGGCACTACTTCGCTGCGGTTTACTCCCGGCTGACCCTCCGCTTATTTAATTTTTGTTTTCGGCATCTCTAGTTTCTAACCAACCACACCGCGTCATAAAGTAATAATTTTCCCAAACAAAAGCAGCTTGAAGAAGCCGGGCACGTGCTTCAAAATCAATACTTAATCACCATCATCGACTCCCCGCGACGCGTCAGGGGACGGTTTCGACCTCACTCAGGAGGGCGGCCTTGAGTCCCCACTGCACTGTACAATCCACTACACTAAGGACACGCGCCGCGTGGAGAGGCCTCTTCGCCGTCAACAACCTCCACCACCACGTCAAGGCAGGCAGGGCAGGCGCCTGGGCCTCTCAATGCCTCAGTACTCTCAGTAGGCGCCCGGCGAGGTCGCGGCGTCGCGGCCACACGGCCACGGCCCAGTACCTCATCACGGACGGAGGCTCCGTCCAGAAAGGAACTCAATTACCTCCCGCGGACCGGCCAGCCCCCCTGCCTAGTCGGCCTATCCCCTTACGGCTCTCGAGGCCTTCCCTGCCGTCTAATCCCGAAACGCTGCTTGTCTCCCTCGCACGCGCGGGGCGGTCCGTAGTGTGTGTCTCCATGGTGCGAGGGAGACAGAGCGCCCGTAGCCTAGCGCGTCAAGATTAGCTGGAGGAGGACGAGTCGAACCAAAAGCTCTCGAAAACAACACAAGGCGGCGGGTGTTACGTGACGCAGTGACCTGGTCGTTGAACTGTGGGTAATGTAATGTCACCGGGCCAGCCAGGCCAGGCCAGGCCACCCTACAAGGCGCAGTACACGTGCGCTGAAATTACTGCGCCGAGCGGCGGCAGGCTGGCGGCAGGCCCAAGTACGACTCCATGTCAGGCGAAATGTCCCTCCACGGCGCGGCTCGGCAGGCTCGGCTCACCGCAGCGCTGTGCGCTAACAAGCAGCATCCCCGGCGCCTCGCCACCCCACTGCTTTTGTTCGCCCGCCCCTCCCCCAACACCCACACAACGACCCGCGGCAATTAAAACAACTTGCACCTAATCTGCATGCGCCCTGCATGGGCTCCGCCTCTGCCTCGGGTTCGACTCCCGCCGCCGGCATCTCAATCTCGCTGCCACTTTGCTTTCCGCTGCCACTTACTCCAGGCGTCGACGACGATGTTGATACAGTCGCGGGGCGACGTCAGCCCCGAGACGGACACGGCGCCGGGCGAGGACGCCATGCTGCCGGCCGGCACCGCGCGCTGCTGCTGCTGCTGCTCCTCACGCACGTCACGACACAGCACCACCGCGACGAGGACGACGCACCGCGCCGCGACAAGCCGCCGCTCGAGGGCCCCGCCGACTAAAGCGCTGCGGCCACGGCCCCGCGGCCCGCGGCATCAGGGCGCCGCCACCGCCATTTGCTTATTCAAATAGAATCCGCGCGGCCGGGCAGGGCGTGCTGCTCGGTGCTGGGCGACCAGGGAAGCGCACCGAAGACCGAAGGCACGCCGCTTCGCCGCTTCACCGCCACAGCGCGCAGGGCGAGCAGGTTCGGCCAGCAGAGTCACTTCCGGCGCGCTGTGCCGCTACGCGCGCTACGCCGCCGCAGCATCCCGAGCCCGAGTCCTCGAAGTGCTCCGAGTGCCGCGTGAGTGCGGCGGTGCGGCCCACGCGGCGCCGCGGGCCTCGCGATGATGAATGTCAGACCGATGGCGCGTCACAACGTAACACTCACTAGTCACAATGGTCCATCCAGCACTTTCACTGCGGACTGTACGGCGTGGTGCCGGACGGCCGGACGGCGCACGCGGCCAGTGACGTCACGCGTCAGCTGACGGACAGGGCCCGGCCGGCGGGGCCGGCAGACGCACTGGACTTCAGGCGGCGTGGGCGCCCTCGAGGTCCGCGACGAGGCGCGCGCGGCGCGGGGCGCGAGACGCGTGCATGGGGTGGTTGCGCGCGCGCTCCGCGCTCATCCAGATGGGCTTGGACGCCGGTACCGCCGGCTGGAGGATCAAGGCCAACGAGCAGGCGTTGGCAGCACTGCCTGCGGTGCTCGACATAACCTCAACCCTGCCCTCCCTGCGCGGGGGAGGCGACGGCGTCCTGGGCTGCGGCGCGGCGCCCTGCGTCGAGGGTGTGTGCGGGCAGTACACGACCGGCATGGGGGACGCGACGGCCTTGTTGCGGGCAGCACGGCGACGGCCTCCAGGGGCGTCGTGGCGAGCTGGTCCGACGTCGAGACTTTGTGCGTCGCGGACTTCGCGGCGCGACGCTGATGACAGCGAACCGCTCTCTTGAATGGTTGGGGACGACCCTCCCGTCCGCGACGGATGTCGACGGCGTCCTCGAGCCCACGCACTTTGCTGTTCCCGCGGACACGGTGCCCTCTAGGCGCGGGAACGCGGTGCAGGTCAACGCGGCAGGGACGGCCAAGGGTCCGCGGGCCACGCACGACGTCAACACGGCACCACGGTGGGGACTGCGCGGACGAGGTGCACGCGGAGCACTGCGCCGAGGCGGCCGAGGCTCGGCGGCCAGCACGGCGGGCAGCACGGTCTACTTGGCCTGCAGTCGACGGACTGCCTGCATCCACCAACACGGCAGGGCTGCCAACCCCTCGCAACACATGGCGCGGGGCGGCGCTTCGCCTCGCAGTGGCTCGCGGGGCCGCCGTGCCGCCGCGCCGCGCCGCAGCCGGTCGATACGAGGAAGACAGGGGCGGGCCGGGCGGGCTGGCGGAGCCCGCTCTGGGGGTGGCGCTAGAGGCTAGAGTGGCGCCGTGGCGAGGCGACGAGGCGACGTGGCGCTGCGCAGTGCACCCACGCAGAAGTGCAGGACGCACGCCCCGCGGCCCGCGGCGTGCCCTTGCCGCCCTAGCGCCGCGCCGTGGCGCCGCGGCGCACACCGCGCTGCAGACTGATTCCGCTAGAGTCGTCTCTCTCGCTCTCAGGAGCGTCCCAGTAGGTGCGAGAGAGACCTGCCGAAAACGGGCTCTCGGAACGACTCCGCCCTTGCGGCAGATGCGGGCTGGGCGGGTCCCTCGCTGGCGCGGCAGGGCTCTGATAACAGCTGCACCGCGTCCGCTCCGTCCACCGCCCCGCCCCGCCCCGCCCCGGCCGACGGCACCGGACGGCCTCGCCCCGACGGCCTTGCAGTGCTGGCGGCGCGATGCGCTGCGCGAGGCCTTGGCCCGGTGCGTTCGGTGCATTCCCGAAAAGGAACGGTGGGGTCAGACTAGACCGGCCGGCGTGTCGCGTCATCGCGTCATCGCGTCGCCGCGTCGGCGGGGAAGCCAGCGCGGCGCCGCGTCTCTCCATCCTGCGGCTGAAAATAGCGGAGACTGCACCCCGCGGGGCGATGCACTCGGCTGATGCACCGCCACCACACTGGCGGTGCCTCGACGGGGGTGGATGTGCGGATGTGCCTACACAGGAAGGACGGACGACCTAAATTTATTTTACCAATCGCGTGAACGGGCAGCAACGGGTACGGCACCACTCGCAGGATGGGCAGGTGCGTTATGGGTTGTCGAGAGCACCACCTGGCACCTGGCCTATGACAGCAGGCGCAGCGGCGCAGCACATCTGCTCAGCGCTCCCCGCCACCCCACCTGCCCAACGTGACTTATCGACAGACATAATTCATGTGGTACACCTCCCATTGAACCTGAGACTTTAAAAATTGTAGACTTATTTTTTGAAGAAGCAATTACAGACGCAAAAAGAGAATCGATCCTGCCAGGATTCGAACCTGGAATCTTCTGATCCGTAGTCAGACGCGTTATCCGTTGCGCCACAGGACCGCTGTGGTGAGGGAGCGGAGCGGCGGCTACACAATGAAGGCCGCACCAAGACGGGAGGGGGAAGAAACAGCTGATTCGTTCGCGCGCGCTCGCCCGGCGGCCGCGCGGCCCCCTCCCTCCCCTTCCCCCTTCCCCCGGCCGGTCCCCGAACTCCCCGGCCCGCGCTGCCGCGCTGCCCAGCGATTGACTCCCGCTGATGTACAGTACACTAGTAGTATGAAC